GAGGGAGATAGTATGCTGGGGGCGGAGGGAGGAGACTGTATGTCGCGGAGAGGGAGACAGTATGCTGAGGTGGTGAGGGTCACAGACTGGCTATGTTTCGGTCAGGCTAAGATTTCAACATTATAGCGATGAGGAGCATTTTAGTGAATCGATGAGGACTGTAAGTTACAAGCGTTGACGGTGCTATGGACAGTGAATGATGAGTCACCTACGGAACACAGTCAGGCGGCTGGTCGTGAATAACGGTATGTCAGCAACGTGAACTTTGAGCATCGATGGGTGTCACCATTGCCTAAGGGTAAGGGCCAGTATGATAAGTGGCTACAAAACTGATAAGCCTATAGCGGCTTAGCAGAATATATAGCATAAGTTGGCCGCTTAGCGGCATTGTACACATTGCGTGTACATTGTGGGAGGAATGGTACATGCCACCGATGGCGTTGCAAACAGANCCCCCGCCACTACTGACATCGCACCGTAGACAAGCTGAGAAACAAGATACAATAATCTGCTGATTACTGAAGGATGAATGTGAGTGTGTGAATGAGTGTGATTGAATAAGAATGAATGACTATGACTAAGAATGAGTTGAGGTGATTGAGGATGATTGAGGATGTGGTTGTGAGGAGCGGATTATCCGCGCTAACGATCTGGGGTAAGGTGAGTGATGGCATGTCTCCGCCTTCGAAGGCACCTGGCTTATATCGGCTGCGGGAGCCGCGAGCGTATGCAACCGCGGTTAATCTGGATTGTTGATCCTGGACCGCAGTAGACTGTACCTAACTGCCTGAATCACTATTGTGCCAAATGCGGTAAGCTAATACGACGTTGATAAGTGGAGACATCTGGTTACGCCTCCTTCGGATAAGCCATCGTCGCTATGCTACTGAAGTCAAACCTGAATCGCTATTGTGCCTGAAACATTGAACATAATTGATCGAGAAGATTAGAAAAGGTTACATTGCGGTGTTTGATGTGCGAGTGCGAGTGCGAGGAGGCCATATATGGACTTCAAATACTATTATTTAGATAGATAGAGAACTTTCCAAGGGAGAAGTTCTCTATAACGCCTCACAGAGCACTCTTAGGAGCCGATCCTAAGGAATGTATCGTGGTTTGGTTAAAAAGTGGAAGAATAAAAATAGAAATATATAGCTCTCGGCATTGATCAATCCCTGAGGGATGCGCCATACATTCGACTTCAGTAAGCACCATTGGAGGTGATTGAATGCATATCTGGCCTTTACAATAACTTGTGGTGGCCTACCGATGTATTTGGTTAGCGCTGCTATCCTTTCGGGTAGGTCTGATACCAATTTGCCGACCCTGGAAGGATGGAGGGCTTGGTGTGCCTGTAGCATGAGGAGCAATATCATGTGTACTGCAGGGCGCTTCCTGCCACTACGCTATCTGCAGCAAATAATTAGTGAAAAGGGGAGGAATAACATATTGAACTACATGATATTTCTATTTTGAAAGTCCATGAGACTGATGACAGTGTCACGGTATGGCAACCCAATACATCTACATTGTCGTTTTTTACTACTATTTATTATTGTACTATAGGTTTTCCTTTCATTATTTCACTAAGACGATTTCTAAGTCTTCGAATATATGCAAAGAACTGGATTTCAACAGCGTAGTTGAGGATTAGCTAGTGCTGTTGTTGATTAATTTAATTCTTGGACGTTAGGTAAGGACACGCTATAGGAAAAACTAAATGCTCAGTAGCTCCGATAATGGGGGTTAGCAGGAGGTAGTACTTCTTCAAGTTAGGTTGTTGTTCAACCAAGAGAATAGAGTTACTAGATCTAAGAGAAACATGAAATGCATCTTATACGAACTCTGCATATTTTTTTTCTTTTGGGAGCATTGGAGCAAATTCTGAAGTTTTTATAGAGAACTGCCAAGGGAATTCTTTCCGTTGCTATCTGATGGATGTGTAGTTACTTCAGCGTTGATGGTTGAAGGCAAGACCTCCATGGTTTTTGACAATAAAACGTTAGAAAGTGAACAAGCGAAAACTTTCTGACAAAACCGATTGGCTAAAGTCGTATAAAAAAGAAACTAGAAATTGTGCAAGCGCAAGCTTCGTGACAAGGCTGATCGACCATGTTAAACACGATTCCTATATAAAAATGGAATTTGACCTGCAGCCTCTATTGTTCGTATATAATTGTTCTACCGATCACAGAATTCTTGTTGGAGCAGAAAACCAGCATTAGAGCCAGTTTCCCACTGACATTTAGACGATTGAAGAGATCTTTTTTCTCTCGCACCATCATCCATGGTGGTGGCCTCTTTCAAATGTGATGACTTCCGTGGTGTCCGTTTCGAATTCTTGAAGTAGTTTACACCTGCGAATATAGATGGCTGGCGTTATCCACGAACACGTCCGTCCATCGTGTGGGTGGTGTTATAAGAGGGGTCTGCATTTTCTTATAGTCCACCCCACTGTTTCTTGCGTCCATTTGTCATCTGTTCTTACTGAGTGACCGGAAAATCTGCGTTTTGCTGTTGATGTCTATTCTCAAGGATTCCGAAGATGCGATAGGTTTCACAGATCTGAACTGCGCATTCCGGCTAAAGCTTATGAGTGCAGGGTAATTTTCAGAAGACACCGTTCAGGAGCCCTGTGGGTGTTGTGCAGAGTTCTTGACGTGGATAAAGCATCAGTTCACGTCTCTGCTGTATAATAGAGCCCTAGGAGGGGTGGTGAAACGAAAAGATGATCACGGAGTTTTGGATCCGCTAGTTGGGCGGTGGATTCGTTGAGAAGCCCAGTTACGACCCATATTGCTTTTCTTCTATCTAATTCATCGTTCATGTGATTCTTCATATTCAGTGGACATCCGAAGTACATGTACGAAGTGGTCTGTATGATTGGACAACCATCCAGTTCGATTTATTCGGCTTCGCACGGTAGGTCCTTCATGAACTGACTCTTCGTGCTACCTATACGCTGTCCAATCTTTTTATCCTCCTCTTTGAGTTCATTAAGCATTGTCTCTGCTCCACTGGTACCACTTGAGAAGACGACGATATCATTCGCGAAACAATGATTTGACAGGGATTGTCCGCTAACGCGTACGCCTTTCTCGTCCCCATCAAACGACTTCATTGTCCACGGAGTGGAGCAGTGACTTTGATGGTATTGTCCCGCTTTGTCGAACCCATTTTCCTATAGGTATGGTTAATTGTGGATAGAAAAGTTCGATTTTAGCGCTCAGCCTCTGGTAACAGTCAGAAAGCGCTTTTATGTAGAACGGGTGCACTCCTTGGTCAACGAGCGCTGATAGGATTGCCTTCGTTTCGACGCTGTTTAACGCTTTCTGGTACTCGAAAAAGTTTAGTACAAGAAGGAGATGCTGCTACCGATAGACTTTTATGACCCGTAACACGATTTCGATATAGTGCATCCAGCAGCATCTCTTTCCGAATCGAACTTGCTCAATTGGTTAATCCTCATTCAAGCTCTTCGATGTGAGCAAAACGATATTCTTATTGAACACCTTATAGAGTACACTCAAAAAGCATGTTGGATGGTAATTGCGAAGATCTCTTCGGTTACGTTTCTTGGGTAGGATAGCCGTGCGCAATGTGCTCCATTGGATTGGGATTTCCTGAATGTAAGATGTTTTATGGTATGCGAGATAAACATGTCAATTCAAACTTCAGAGGGTAGAACTTCGCGGTTTTTTACCGTCAGGAATTTCAGGGTCCGATACGGGGTATGTCGAGCATGTGCGGTATGTATACGGGTAAGGATGAATATAGAACCTTTCTGTTACTAATTCGATATCTTTGCGAGCTGTGATGATAACAACCATCTTCGCTTATTAGGGCGGATAGCGGGACTCTATAGTCAACCAAATCCCCACTCTAATTCTTCAGATCTTGAGACAAGATCGATTTTGAGCTGCTTCCAATAACTTTTTCTGTCTATATTGATGTTAATCCTTTTGCAGAGATCTTCTTCAGTTGGCGATATTAGCAGCCATTTGATATACGTTTCAGTAGGATCAAGCTTCACTTTCCTTCTCTTCTTGAGCAATTGTGCAGCGGGAATGAAGATGCGGTCTGCCCATCTTGTTTGAGGAACTGAGGCTTATACACATAGCGTTTGTAGAATTCGGCTGTTCTGAGTCGGTGGAAAATCAGTGCACAACAAACCAATATTCTTTAGACTGATTGTCGTTTAACCTGGGCATTAGTAATCAATACATTTTTGGATTGATAAGCTAAGACGAGGTTGATGAAAATGTTTATTCGGCTGACGATTCGACGTCTTCGTCGTCACTAGAGCCGATGATCGGAGTCAGCGGTCCACAGAATTCGTCTCATCAATCCAGCATCTTCGTCTTCCTATCGAGTCGAGTCTTCTTCAATGGAATACCATTCGAATGAGACAGTCTCACCCGGCAGCGCTCTTTTATACATGAAGATTGTTTTGGTAATGACTGCTTGTTGGCAACGGTCGGTATCAGTGCACAGCTTTTGAAGAGTCTCCCTTTTCCTACTTCAACAGTCTCCACGCAAGGACGAAGTTGTCATATTGTGAAGCACTTCGGAAGGTTTTTTTCAAGAAAAGAATCTAATACAAGTGCGTGATCGCTAAAACAGTAGTGAAGCGATCTCAAAACTTGTGCATAACCAGGTTAGCGTTCTTCAGCTGACAACGACGGGCCATTACGTCAACTCGAACAGCATCCGGCGGAAAAGCACATGAATTCAGAAAATACGCAGGTGTTAGCACGCCGCCATCGAGTATTTTCACTCGCCCAGTTACTCAATAATGATAGCCCTCCACATCTTATCTATTGATGTGGACTGGAGATCTCAGTATGTCAGTCTTCCAGTCACTAATATTGCTTCCTTAAAAATGGAATTTCTTTGAAGAATTGACTGGGTGTTACATGATTAAGAGCATGTAACTCGATGTGAAGTCAAGAGCTTACATGGCTTCTTTTTTTTGTACGGCACTTGTGCAATATATTATGATGGAAGCCGCTGCCGAAGTAGAAGGGCGTCGTCGTGAACTTCTGGGCAAAACGGTTTTTTCAGCTGACTACTGAGATATGAGCAGTTCGAGGTTGCCTCAACAGACCACCAGAATTCGTAGGTGCTCCGCTTGGGTAAATCCAGATCCATTGCATAGCCACATTTGTGCGCCGTCTGATTTCAGGTTTTTCAAGATCGGAAAACTTCTTTCGACATAAGTACTTGCCGAATCCGAATTAATCATATTGTAACTCAAAGCAGTCTTCTGTGGTAAGGTGCTGTTATTTTAGTGGATAATATCTAATGTGTGCAGCCATTAGCCTTATATGATCGACCAACGTGGTCGTTATTGTAGATTGGAAAAGTCTTACTGCAATAAATCGGAAAAATGAAAAAGCATGCTAATGGTCCTTAATTTTCCGCTGACGCAATCTAAAAGGACGTACTTTTCCGGCTCAATGACAATGCTCGTCTAGAGTGAGGGAATTCGCATAGAAAATTTTTTTAGAGATCATGAATAGTAGTGGTTTACAAGCATTAATAATGAAAGCCCACCGCCAGGTGACTCCCACTCATTCGTCCTCAAAGGTGATTTCGCCCCCTTCTAATTTAAACGAGTATATCCCATTCATAGTGAACTTTACTAATTGAAATAAAAACCTTGAGAATCGACATATGTTTTCCATTTAGATAGAGTTTTCCTCATTTCATCGAGATTAAAATCTCAATTAATGGAGCAATGAAGCTGTACTTCTTTCGCGTCTTTTTCTTTCGTCGGAACTAATATTTAGTAAACCAAAAGGTAGAACGACTGGGATTGCACCCAGTAGGCGACAACGTTATCCTCCAGTCTATCGGTAATATTTGCAAATTATATCAGAGATATGGAGAGCTCAAATTTTGCTCACCACTTTATGAAAATATAATTTGAATTTTATTTCTTACTTTTTTACTTTTGACTGTGCAAAGTTTTACAGCTAAAGTAATATTTTTTGTGAGCCGCATTCACCAGTGGAATGAAGCCTGTTTTATAAATATAATAACTCTTCAGCTTCTCAATACCTTAGTTATCAAGAATTACTCAACGGAAGCCGGTTTTCTCAAAAAACCAGCTTTGGATTCCAAGTCTTAATATGCTCCGAAAAGAGCTGCTTTTAAGCAATTGCTGGTTATTCTTTAAAAATTTGAGTTCTTTAGGAGTTGAGAGCTCAACAGGATTGCATAAGAGGCTTATAGCCGCATAAATCAAAAGTGCATTCGCTGGCATCACCGTGCTCTTCTCGACATTGTCTCACTTGTTCAATCATCCCTATGCTTGAAATACAAGGGTCTAGAAAAAAGTGATTTGTGGCCGCCAAAACATCGGAAACTTATCGCTTAAAATAGAGAAGATTGTATAGTTTGCTGGGAAAGAGCAGTGCATCCATATGCCTATTATTATTATTATTATTATTATTTCAATTCATAAAAATCACTTTGAACAGTTGTTCAAAGTTGAAAAACTAGAACATTCTCATGAGTACATCTATCGAAATCAATGCACGTTTCCGTGAAAACGTTAAGTAGGAGTTCGCTCAATGGTTTTCATTGATTGTGTTGAAGTATGTTAGACACTTAAGCCGTATGGCTTTAGCGCTGGCCTTCCTTTGTTGTCATACTCGTATGGCTTCATTCACTAGATGAGAACTTAAGTGAGTAGGTGATAAAATGTCGACACAATAGAAAAAAATTTATGTATATATCTTTCTACTTCTGTTCAGCAAATACTAGGTGCTATTTGATTTATCTATCTATAGTAAAGTCTATCTGATCTCTTGTAAAGCGTGCGGGGACGAATACGTTGGCGAAACGGGTTGACCACTCCGCGTACGTATAAAAGAACACCTAGTCGGCAAACGTAAACCAAGTACTCCACTAGGTACGCATAGCACGCAGAAACATAACGGAGAAGATTTTGAAGTAAGGGTTACGATCCTCGCGCAAGAATCGAGAACACAAGCGCGCAAAACTCTAGAGGCATTCTGGATTAATTCCAAGAATCCGAAAATGAACCGCAGGGAGGAATGCCTCGTTATCACGCGTGATATTGGACAGTATATAAGCCTGTTATTCTGATGGGAGGGGCACATTACGCTTCCATGTGAATTCTGTGCGGTCGGTCTTCACGCGACATACTCAGTGGAAGACTCATAGAAAGCGATGAGTGTGCAGAGCTATGCTAAATGTGATTGAAATCTTGGTTTAGCGTTTTCTCTGTTTGGTTATGGAGGTGTTTGGTCGAATGGATTGCTGTCAACTTGACCCTTCCAGGCTCTGAGGAAGGCGAAATCCGCCGAAACGTCAGCTTGTGCGTAAATAAAGAAATAAAATAGCACCTCGTGTTTGCTGAAGAGAAGTAGAAAGATATATTCAATCAATGCCGAGGTTAATAGAAAGTCGGACTTGGGAGTTACTACAAAAATTGATGTGTTTCTATCTAATCTCAACGCAGATTATCTCGCTTATAAATCAAACTCGGTTTTCCTCCAATTTTAAATTCCGATTTTCCACCAAATTCCCATTGGGACTGAAAAGAAACAAATATACTTGACCCTTTGAGAGAAATGAAAACGTCCTAAGCAAAATTTGATGGGTATTACTTCATTTTTTGAGTCTAGTATCGTCAATGTCGAGCTTTCTATGTGCGTTTCATCATGACCATAGCCGTTTAACTTATTTACCTAAACGGCTAACAATTGAAGACGATATGCATGTATGCTTTCCCAGATGGTGAACATGAATCTATACTGTAGATTGTGTGGTTCCTCTACTACCACAGTTGTGGGTAGTTAGTAGGTATCCTTAAAGACTTTGGTCCCACATGACTTGGACGAAGAACTTTGTCCTTTCTTAGATGCTTTTTGTCCACTTCTTTAATAATTTGTTGCTAAGGACTTTTGATTTGTGCAGCTGCACAGGAATAATATTTCCACAAAGCTGTGAATTTCCCGCTTTACTAATGATGCTGGATAAATGTTTAATTTAACTTTTATGATAGGCAGCGAATTTTATTTGTTTTTTTCTTGTTTGAAGTATGGTTTTTGGGCCATGTAATTAGTACTTCGGGAAAAGAAGCTATGCAATAGTGGATTAGGGTTATATTAAAAAGGGATTTTGTGAAGGCGTGGAGCTTCACATCATTGAAAGTGTACATCAGTTTCTCGGTGATATTTGCAGTGTTGGTCTTATCGTTGCTGCTAAGTAGCTGTTTAATGAGACTTCTATTTCAGGTAACAAACTTAATTCGTTTTTTTTTAAAGCAATTTACATTGCGGCGTTGCTTTTTGTATGACTGCTTCGCTCGAGGAAATGAGTATCTCTCTGGGACATACATCGCTCCAGTCAACAGCTCCTCTCCATAATTGTTTCACATAGTCAACGTTGCTGAGCTCTTTAGACGTTTTTAATAGTATTTGTTAGTGTTTATTGATGTAAAACGTAAGTGAATGTACGTAGGAGTTTTGGTGTGGTTAGACATTGATGTAGACGAAGCAGATACTGAGGGATTAGATCGAAAATACGCAATATGCAAAATATGCGTGTTGATTACACTTATGAGAACTTCGGTTCGTTCACCTACATCTTCTAACCCACGGCGTATGGATTATCTTTTCTCTTCGTATATCTCGGTAAGTCCTAATAACATCAAACCCTGTAGTATTGCCTGCAATATGGTGTCCTCAGCAACTTTAGTGGCTGTGATTTATACATGATTATTGTGAGATTTGACTTTCTTTCTCATGCTCATAACTCTTCTAGCTTGTATTCTGAATGTTCGTCATGTTAAAGAAAATGATAGCTTCATTACTGCTACTTCATTTTCTGATATATTTCTTTGAGTAAACGAGTATTCTACCGTAATGCAAGATAACTGCTTATCAGTGGTACACAAATAGTGGATCGACTTAGCTATTTTATGTTAAAGCAGAACTTAATGTGTTCTGTAGGCATTTTCTGGTTGCGAAAGAAAGCTCAAAGTGATAGATTAAAATCGGTTCTATTAGAAACCGCTACACATTTAGTCATTATGCAAATGAAGTTCAGCCTAGTAGAGCCAAGGAGTTTATCGCTTTGATTCTTGCCAGTGAACAAGCACTTGGTTGCTTTTGTTATTTAACTTTTTTTTTGCTTTGTGTAGAAGAAGTAGTTGTATTCTTCGTTTTTCTGTTGATTAAGGAAAGAGCGTTAAGTGGCGTTATTTAAGAAATAGCTTCACAGTAGAATGCCTTTTTACGAGTGTCAACGGCTCGATGGCACGATGATTACGACTACTGTAAGAGATGGTAAATTGATGTGTTGCTCAGAAAATTGCCATCATTCCTGAATGCGATTGTTGTGCGTCTACTTCTGATGGTATTGCATACATACATTATGAATATTTGTTGGACCTTTTTAATCAAATCCAGTCTATTCTACACAGGTCTAATCTCTATTCCATCATTATAGAACATGTCTTATAAAAAAGGGTGAAGTTCTAGGCGTTGATCAATCCCTGAGGGGTGAGCCAGCCATTCAACAGCATTAGGAATTTCTGCACGGAGTTTCATATGATAATGCATTTTTTGAATGTCCTTACAGGAGCCTTGAAATAAAGGACAATTACAATTCACTAGTGAGATAAGATGAATATTTCCATTTGTTAAATTAATTATTCGTTACCAATGAAAGAATTGAAGTTGCGGTCTTATCTGCTTCTGCTGACTCGTAAAAGGAAATTTGATTAAAAGAATCCATCCGTCTGCATAATCCTCGATCGGTCGCTCTATAAAATCGCAGAAATCGCTGCTATATTGGTGGAACCCATGACGAAAAGGAGCGAACTTTCCTCCGATCCACAACGGCTGTAATGAAACCGAAGTACGGTTGTCAGGAAGTAACGATGAACTAGTATTCAGCAACTCACCTAAGGAAGAATATGGCAGATTTTCAAGCTTCTGTCAAACACATACCTGAACGCGACTACTTCCTTTGTTTATAGTTCAAGGCAACGATTGGGATCAGAAGAAAGCTTAGACGACATTAGAGAGCAAACCATGTTACTCTGTGGGTAAATATTACCTTCCTATTTCTTCATAGTAATTGCAACATCGGTTATGTTCGATTTCCGCCTTCTCTCCTTCTACTGCTGCTGAAAATTGGCTCACAACTTTATCCTATCTCCGTGAATGTGATCTGTTCTGAGACATGGCTAAGCGAAAAGCAGGAACTCTTTTTACTTTCGGAAAGCTTCATCATCGTCTCCACATTTTTTTCGTACTTTTCTAATGTATTAACAAGAATCATTATGAAGTAGCACTCAATAGAAAAAAGTGAGGCGGTTCAATATGAAAATCTAATAGCAACACAAAGGCTCATGACTATATATCTCTATATGATACTCTCTCGTCTGTCGCTTGTCTTCCCGTTGATTGTCGAGTGGTGACGAGCGTGGTCGCTAGGAAAATTTCCATTCATTCCTGTAGTGTGTTAAAGTTGCCAGATGGGTGCTTTTCATTTGTGTGGAACGAAAACCATCATGTTTTTTCCCCACGTACACTTCGAGGAGAAGCTTCGTGGGGCCACTGGCTATTCACATATGCCCTTAACGTTTCGTTAATCTCAGTCACTCACTCCTCTTATCTAATGGCTGTAGTCAATTGAGTTTTTTTTTTTTTACGAACTACCTGTTCTTCGGTACGTTTTATTGTGAACTTCTCCATCCCCATTCTTTCAGCGTTGAGTTAGACCGTTCCTCTTGATTTCTTCTCCGGCTTATATGAAATAGGATCCTTTCAAAATTATCCTCTTAATAGCGCGATTTATGGTGCTGGATGGACTTTCGTGTTATTTGCCTATAGTCCAGGTATAAAATGACCAAAATCGAGACTGTGGAGTTGAGGACATTAATGCAGAACAGGATATTCTTTGTCGTTTATTCTATTTCCGCATTGCTCTTATAAGCTCTGGAAGCCGTTCGCTTGTTTCTTTTCGTGTTCAGTTATTTATCGAGTTGAATTCCCGTATTTACCAAGGGATACAAGGACGGACCACTGCGAAATAGTCGTCTCGTTGAGCGTGAATACGATTGGATAAGGGCAGCTCCTCGTTTTTATGAAAACATATTCATAGAGTTCAGCCGCAGACGAACGTTTCCATATGAGAACGTCATTGTTCAAGCAAGGATAATGTGCTATCGATCATTGAATTTTGCTTCATCTTCTTCGCACTATAGCTTTCTTATAACATTCGTCAGAAGATGGTGAGGATGAGGGTGCATTTGAGAACACGAATCAGATCCGGACAAACATTGTTTCGTTCAAAACTAACCATGTTACGCTGTAATTTACCTTCCACGATGGGATAAATACTCTGCAGGTTAGTATACTCTAGGGTTCTGTCTTATTCTTCAATACGATAAACTAATTATCAGGCAGTTAGATAGATAATTCAACGAATTTTCACTTTGAAAAAAGAAATAAAGTGTCCAAATATTAGCATGGAGAGCGCATAGCGCAACCGTTATAGATGCCCTTCTATGCACCACGTTGTCTTTGGTTGGATCTCGCGCACCAGCAAACAGGTTCCAGAATTGTCTCGAAGGATAGCAACGCTGACTTGATACATCGGTAGAGCATCACAAATCAAGTTATGGGTCAGATATACATTCAGTTATCTCTGCAATACTTCATCGTGCCAAATGCATCACATATCTCTCAGTGACTGATGAACATCAAAAACCTTATCCTTTTATCCTTTTAGTTCTGGTATCTAAAATTTTTCAAAAATAAAAACCGACTTGCCTTTCACTATCTCTTTCTGCGCGCAATCAGTCTGTCCTTGTCACTTTTTTCCCGTTCTTATTGATAATGTGTTACTTGATACTTGATACTTGAACGGCCCGTCCTCACTAGTTGTTTGAGCCCCAGCATAATCACCACTTTTCGGAGATTTGCTGGTTGAGCCATTGTGGTTTGCTGGAATCCCGAGGACAGTCAGGCCAAAGTCTTCCCCAGGCCTTCACCACGACAGGCAGTCGCAGCCCTTGTGGATCAGAGAGAGATTTCCCACCATGCGACTTTGATACTAGGACGGTGGTGGATACTGATATTGGTTTACTCTTAGCTAGGCTTCTTGATGGAAACGCCGGACTCCTTCACAGCTTAGGAGACCCTGCCAGGAGATGAATCCTCCGCTGTACATCGCAGTCCGACACCCAGGAATACCTCCCAGCCACGATGAGGCGGTAAACCGTTGGGAGGTGGTAATGTGTTACACTATGAAATGAAGAGATTTTTTAAAGACCTGAAAACAAAGCCAACAGAGTATATACAATGATCTTTCGTTCCGTTGATCTTTACTATACTTATGAACCTTCCTTTGATAATTAAGCCCAATTAAATTTGATGAGATAATGAACAAAGGAAAGTGGCAGATTAAATGAACGGCAAACGATAGAAGTGTCAGTGAAACCTCATCGGAGCGTAATGGAGAAGCGTTAACTTATTAAGTTGTCTACTACATAATACATGACATGGTTATGATTCTGCTGTATCGATTCACCATAGCGATCTGCAGTACAAATGGCCCATTCGAGCTAGCACATTGTGCCCAACAATATTTCCAGGCTACTTGCCTATGTGACCAATAAGAATGCGCTTGAATTTTTTTCGCTGACGGGATGACAAGCTATGCTACTGGTATACAACATGTGAGCCGCTATGTTCACGTGTAGTTATCCATTGTGGATAAAACTTGAAAATAGACTGGTTGTGGTGCAGGTGCCTTGTCACTAAGTCGGCGACCTAAGTTTTCTGTTTTTACTTCCGCCGAATATCAATTTTACTACAGCTGTTATACTTGTATTGGCAGATTCTGTTTGCTCTGTTAATCACATGTACAGCAATGTTTCACCATAATCTTTGGAACCATTGTTTCTAACGCGCGCTACTTCGTCATAGATTATTTGTAGCGTACTTTCTTTAAGTTATCTATGAAGTAGCAAAAAACACTTTAGGCGAGAGTTTTTTGTTGTAGAGCTCTACAACTCATGAATGACAATAATATGCTGCATTTAGAAGATTGACTTGGGCTTTGTGGTCCTCTCTCTCTTAACGGTCGGTTTTATTCAAGTTCGTAGAAATGAAAAAGCACTCTCATTTACTTCGGCAATACTTTGATACATCTTTCAGAGAATTTAAGTTAACATTAGTACCACTTGTTATCTCTGTAATGATCGTGTAACCCAAGTGTGCACCATTGAGCTTCATTCGTCTCTTACGTGCATCAATGCCGCTCGAATGGGCTTTCATGTTTCGAGGAAAATGAAATGAGTCACGGCTTTTATAGGAAGCTGCTTATCTTTTGCAGGTATTGCTATGAATTTAACCATGTTCAACTGGGTAAGTTGTGCTGTGACATAACAATTTTGTGTTACGGTATATTGCCAGTGATGAATACTGTTAGAAACTGGATGCTTTGATGGATTTTCTTCTTGCTAGTCACGGTAGATTAAAAAATTCCCCTTTTGTTGACTTCTCCTATTACACAAAGAATCCTGATTCCAGTCACGGAAAGTCATCGTAATAGTAAAACGTACCAAGTCTTTGTAGCAGTTTTAATGAATGATTAATAATTGTTGTTGTTCTAAAAACGTTGAAAAGCCTAAAGAGGAAAGGTCCTATCCTTTGGCTAACTGCTCTAGCCATTTCATCTTTAGCTAATGTTATACAATATGAGAAGGATCTCAGCGAAGAGTTATGTTATATCAAATATCCAGCCATCACGCAAAAATCTAATTTCAAAGCGAAATCCTCCTACCTCCGTTATCGCAGGGAAGTCGATCGTGAAGTGATGAGTTGGGAGGCAATGCTTTAACTCGGTTAAGTCCACCAACCAGTAACAACTTTTTTCTTACCGAGCTACTAATCGTGAAAATAAAGCATTCAAGCATGAAATTAGCTGCGTTAAATCATTTTTTGTTCTTTTGTTGCAGCGACTTTTATCACAGGTTAATGGGATGGATTGCCTGGATTGCCTCTTGTTGACTTTTACACACGTTCAGCTACTAATCTTTGAAATTTCTTTTCCACGACACAGTCTACCGCTTTCAGCTTTGTCGACCGTTTTTTATAACGATCTACGAGTTAATGTTTTAAAACATATCTTACTCCACATCCCTTGTCTGAATAGATAATTTTCAACGCGGATTCTACAGTTTTTAGCGTTTCTATTAGCTATTGTATAACGTTTATTCGCCTGAAATCCAACCAATTCAAAACCGATTTAAGTTTGAGAGTTTGCTGAGGTCGATGTTGAGTTCCGAAGCGGTGACTCGTTCCGAGATTCGTTCGGTACTGGTTCGACACTGGCGAACTCTGGATCGTGCTAGATTGCACACGTTGCACTTGTGGATGTTCATCTATGCTATCGCTCAAATATTCATCATGTACTATTTTAGTGAAGTTAGTTCTGTGAATAATTTTTACCTTCGTTTTTGGTTATTAAGACTATGACTGCGTATGATACCTTAGAAAATGGTTTTAATTGATTTCTCTTAATTCTCTTTTTCGCGACCACACCTGATTACGTGCGGATGGCGCGTCGAATTATAGCCAAAAATTCTGCGCGCAAGATATGAATCAAACGTGATTCACATAATTCACTGTGCTTCGTAGTGTTTGAATAGTAAACAATTCATACAGTTGCGAATGTGGTTAGGCACATTTAGTTTTTCACTACTAACTGCACTGAGTAGTGTAAGATGATGCTATGAGTAATATCCGATCTCCGATTGCACTTTTGACAGACGATGCGGATTATTCTCCATTCCAAGATAGGCTTCGCCTTTTCGCGATTATTAGCAAGTAAAAATTTTCTTGTGTGTTAAAACACAGAGTAAGCCTTTCAAGCATTGAGAATACCGAAGTTAAATTCCATACTTATACATCAGTAGACCAACGAAATACGTTGTTGCCGTCTATGTTCTCTATTGAAAAGTACGCATAACCAACAGAGAACGTGATGATTGTAAGATATGCAAATCCAGCTGACTACTTGTGACTTGTCATCAGCTAGCGAATAGTGCGATTTAGTTTTGTGAATAATTTGATGTACATTTAGTTTCACAGGATTGAAAAATTCTTACAAATAAGAAATAAAACGATTACGTGCGAAAATCTGTGACGATGATAATCAAATCCAGTACGAATAACTTTTAGCAATGGCTGTATTATGAATTTTCCAGATTCTTCTTCCGGTAGGAAATCGTGCTCAATCAGTGACGAATAGAGAGGAGGTGTGAAAAATTGAAAATTCTCTATAACATTCCGCTAACGCAAACTTTCAAAAATTTTTTGGTGATGAAGAAATGCTTCTAGAAAGTGGTGTGTGCGTGTTATGTGTTTGACATGGAAAATTCCTAGTTTATGAAAGTGCTGCCAAAGACCGCAATACTTATACGAAGGAATAAGTCCATCTAATTCCTGTTACTTATTGTAGCCTCTGATCTGACAATTAAATTTAACAAGGCTTCAGTACACCTGGAAAAGTACTTATTTTTATTAAAAACTTTGTACGAATTATTAACTAGTACTTATTAGAGATAGAATGAAGCGATCGCACGGATGAAATATACCGGAAATGAAGAAATGATTTAGGTAAAGAAATGGGCACCAACGTGCTTCTTTATTTCTATTACATTCGTTGGATATTTATTGATTAGCTGCTTTTCTATACGATTCCGTGATCAGGTAAATGTTACCGTAATACCGTCATTTGAACATTTTCCTATGACATTTTCGTTTCTCATTAAATCGTTTTATATATACATTACTGTGTAGCTAAGGATGTCCTATATGTCGAATTTCGTGATGCATGCAAAGAATTCATCTCTCGATTAACAAGGATCGCTTCTACTTTAGTGGAACCCGAAAAACCACCGCTAGTCGGTAGTTCGACGTTACGGCAGAACCTCACTAGCAAAAGACTCGTCTTCACTACAAATCACCTCCTATGTGAAAAGCGTGCTGGTTCCAATTCCCTTAAGCGTGCTGGTTATTGAGTGTAGCACCAGCGCCCTACATTAACTAGAACCGCCTCATTGTCCTTAAGCTTGGAAGTTTCCTCCTTGGGATGTAACTCGACTCCCAAGAAACACTCTCTCTATTTAGTATAAGGAGGCAAACCACTGAGTTCAAGGTCTGCTTTATTGTTTTATAATGATCTGTTTGTTATTAAACTGTTGTGGCAAAATTTATGATAAGCTTTTGAGCTGAAAGCTATCAGCAATCCAAGTAGAAATCTGATGATTATCCGCAGACAAAGATTTTTAGAGCAGCGGATTCAGTCTTGTTTTATTGTCACTTGCAGCAACTATGCTGTTTCCGGTTTTTATATGGGTATTACATCTTCCGATAGTGGTGTTTGTCAGTAAGATGAGTTTAATTTCTTACATGAAGAAGCTTCATTTGATTAAATGTGCCATTGATAAGTTTTATTTCAGGAAAGAGTTCACTTGCATATGTACGATCATTCATCACTTTATACTGGCTTATGTATAGCGACGGGTTTGTTCTAATATGAGTAGTGCATTTCAATATTTTTAGTGCTCCGTTTATAATCGACGATAGTAACTTCAATCTTAACCTTTTTATTTACTGCCTATTTTTAACGGCAGGGTAGGTTGCGAAATAAAACTTTAATAATGCTGGGATATTTGCAATACTCTGGACCGCAGGTGTCTGCGGTGGGGAACGAACGCGTTATTACCCTTTCCGGGGGCTAACGCGTTCACTACCACACCATGCGGGTCTTTCGTTTCGCCTATTTCTCAGCTAGTTCTATCGATCTTTTGCCATCAGCAATCACCCGCCAACGGGGTTGATCTAGAGAGCCCAAATCAGTATTGAACCCAGTTAAGCTGAGGCTATAGTTATAATCACAATATCTCAGCATTATGAAAGTTATATTTCGCTACCTAACCTGCCATTAAAAAGAATAGGCAGTAAATAAACAGGTTAAGATTGTGATTATAACTATAGCCTGAGCTTTACTGGGCTCAATGTCGATTTGGGCTCCCCAGATCAATCCCGTGATTGCTGATGGCTGTGATCGATAGAACTAGCTGAGAGACAGGCGAAACGAAGGACGCGCATGGTGTGGTGGTGAACGCGTTACTCTTCGGAAAGGACAATAGCGCGTTCGTTTCCCATTGCAGGCACCTGCGGTCCGGAGTTATGCAAATATTTCAGCATTATGAGAATAATTTCAGTTTTTTTAAAGGTGGATCTCGTCGATAATCGCTATGAAAAGAAATTGTCCGGAAATATTTTGAAGGAAAATGATTGGAGAATGCTTTGAGAAATCAAGCAAGTTTCTCAAATATGATTTGAATATGAAGTAGAGCGAAGATTTATCATCCATTCATAGCATTGTGAAAAACAGCTGTATGAATATTTCGCCTAGAGAGTGAATTTCAGAAGTTTTCTGAAGTGTCAAGTCATCGTTTTTATCTTCTCAGGCAAGTCCGTCCAGAAGCTGCCGACACAAGAGGGATGGATGGCTTGATTTGCCTGGGCGCGAGGTTCAACCGTTCACCACATGATTCTCGGTCCTCTTTTATTATTGGCTACAAATGGTGCTGATCTTAGAAAAAGTAGATAATTCCACCAGAATTCCTGGCTCATGGTCGAGTTATACAACATATGACCATAATATAAGAAATCTACTGGTATGGTAACAAACCTTTAGGTAGGCCGATGACCTCCTGTAGCGGTAGCTTTGGAGCTGCTGGACACAGCTTTTCGTTGCACTGGAAAGAAAATAATATGAAGACAAACCTGAAACATCACCTTTATCACCTGTAGTCTCGTTGATCGTCGAGTGGCTCAAACGGGCACCAGTTAAGCTTCCATTTCTCTCTGTCGCGTGCAAGAGTAGCCCAGTGGGTTTTGCTCGCTCTAGCGACTCATATCAGCGTTGAGCATCATATCTTTCTTCTAGGCTTTTCGTGAAGAACTTTGACCATTGGGTCGATGGTCTTCTTGCAGTGCATTTAACATCCCAAGTAATCTAGTCACTAACGGCTTTTGTCCATCGGTTATCGTTCATACGCATTACGTGTCCGGTGCACCTTATCTTTGACTGTTTAGCGTGCAGAACAGCATCCTTGTCTTTTGATTGTTGACACACGTTAGAGCTTCGGATCCCTTCCTTTACTTGTGTGAAACGGGATACTCCTAGCATCGTCCTTTCGACTGCGCGTTCAGTTACGCTGAGTGATCCTTCATCCTGCTTACACACCGACCAAGATTCTGACGTATACGTTAGGGCAGGAAGTACCGTTGAGTCGAAAAGGTGAGCACGGAGTCTGGTGTTCTTTGACCTCTTCAGCACTTTGTCGACGCTCTTGAAAGCTCGCCAAGCCGCTCCTTTCCTTCTGTTCAGCTCTGCAGCTAAGTCGTTCATCATATTGATTTCCCGACATAGATGGACATAACTGGAGCGTTCGGAGATATTTGTTCCGTTGAGTGTTAATGGGGCATGCGAAACCAATCCGTTCTTCACGAACATAGTTTTGTGAGATGTAGTCGTGTAGTCGAAGACCAATCTTTCCACAGGATTTATCAAAGTTGTCAAGCATACATTCCGCCTGGCTAATGGTTGGTGTGGACGATGTCATCTGCAAAGCGAAAGTGGTGTAACTGCCGACCATCGATTTTCACGCCAATGTTGTACCATTCTAATGTTCGCATGACGTTCTCGAGGGTGGCGGCAAATAATTATGGCGAGATGGTATCGCCTTGTCTAACCCCTCTTTTGAGGTCAGTGTTACTATCGCTGTAGAATGGCGTTATCTTGGTTATAAAATCTCTATATAGCTCATGAAAAATCTTTATATAGTGAGTAAGAACTCCCTGACTATCAAGGGCTTCTATGACAGCTTCTATCAGTTGGTAGAAGGTGTCAACCTGAAACATAATAAGACGAATGAGAATTGTGCTGGCGTACCCATAATTCTTAATGAAGGCCGACTATTAAAGCACCTTGAGCAAACTCTAAAAAGTGTGCCTTACTTCATTGATAACCTAACATGAGATTGTTACGAAATATTTATTCGGCTAATTTCGACGTCTTTGTCTTCCTCTGAGCCGATGACCACCCAAACCGATGGTCCGCAGTCGTTCATCTTATCGGTGCGGTGTCTTCATCGTCTTATAGGGCCGAATCTTCTAAAAACTATATACAGAAATCGGCGCTGTAGTTTAGAGATATTAGCGCGGTCTGTTTATGTCGATTATCAGAGTTTATTACGAACTGAGTTTAAAAAGCATTATCTCCCGGACAAAATAGTACAAATAAAATTTCAGTTGCGTTAGAGAACTTGTTTCGCCGTAGGAGTGAAAGCCCTTATTTACTACAGATCGATAATCTCATTGGGTTAAAAAGTTTTTTCAGTTGTGCAATTTTTCGTGCTACCACGTCATCGTCGAATATTTCTTATTTTGTCGCTGTTGTGGGTGATAATAAATGTGAGCGTCCTTCTTCTACTCAACAAGGATGCGATCAATGCTGATTATACTTTTATCTATTCAGTAAGCATCTGTTGTTTTTTTGTAAAGAAATTGTCATTTGATAGATTAAGGTTTTGAAAGATGCCAAATTGTAGTTGGCAAGTTGAACTGCTACCGTAGGAAAATCGGTAAAGTTATTTCGTTCTCAGTACGACAACAATCGTTCCCGATTTTCCTGCCGACATCATTTACTTACAGATGACTTCATTTCTCTTACAACAACTAATGATCAGTTGTGTTGGGATTGTATCCGATTCAAATGAAGCTGCAAATCGCGCCGATATCGCTATGAAACTAACGGAAGCCGTTTATCGTAGGACGGAACTGGAATCTTTAAAGGATAGACAGGTTGTCAAACGACTAGACCAAAGGTCTTCAAAAGTATTGAACAACTCGAATAAAATGGTTTGACGGGAAAAATCAGCCATATTATTGAGTCTAAAATGCTGTAAAAATGAAAACGAGAATGCCAAAAAGTTAAGATAGCACGTGGACTCACGGAAAGAGTAATCACGGCTTCAAGGCTCATTTAGAGTTCCGAGTTTTGCTCATATCACAGCATTATTGTGGTTGTATTTCACGTAGTACCTTGCCATGAAAAAAGGGTAGGAAGCAGATAAAAATTAAATATTGTTGAAAAGCAGCGAAATCACTTTATTCCACGCATGTTTTTCAGTATCTGAATGCTTGAATGGACTGTTTTTAAGAATCATACATGCTTCAGCAAAATTTGTTTTCACCAGGGTTTGCGCGAGAAGTTTAATGGTTCAAGATATCTATCGGACGTCGGTGGATTGGTATCACCTGTCCTCAAGTCAAGTGATTTGGGCGGGAGCCTTTAAATCTTCCGTTTTCTCCTGTCGCGTGCAAAAGTAGCCCAGTGGTTGTGCTCGCTCTAAAGATTCGTTGGGCATCATGTCTTCGTTCTATGGTTCTCGTGAAGAACTCTGAGCATCGGGTCGGTTGTCTTCCTTCGATGTGCTTGACATACCCAAGAATCCAGTCGAAAATCATTCTTGTTCATCGGTTGCCGTTCATGCGCATTACTTGTGCGGCTCACCTTGCCTTCTACAGTTTAGCGTATAGAACGGTATCTCTGATTGTTGGTCGTTGACATAGGTCAGTACTTCGGATCCTTTCCTTCATTTATGTGACACGGAATCCTCCTAGCACGTCCTTTCTACGGCGCGTTCTATAACGCTGACTGTTCTTGCATGCTGCTTTTGTAGGCACCGGGTTTTTGAGAGTTAAAGCAAGAAAAATCGTGGAACCTAAAAGGTGTGCCTGTAGTCGGGTGCTGTTTATTCTTTTCAATACATCTTGGATGCCAGTGAAAACTCTCAGTCCGTTGGTTTCCTCCCACCCAACACTGGAACAAAGTCATTTACTCTGCTCATTTTTCGACTTAGGTAAACACAGCTGGATCATTCGGACATGGTCATTCCATTGTTGGTACCAGAGTTTATCTGGAGCGGGTCCTTTCAACTGGGAAAAAATCGGCAAGAACTCGACTACATTCATGAAGAATACAAAGCTGTTGTGGTGGTAAGCGAATTTATACGAACATCTGAAGATGATCATATTGACGGATCCTAGGGAATCGAATAAAGCAGTTACGGTCCGCTTAATATGTGCAGACGGATAATTTGAAGGAATAAATTGGACGTATGTGTGAATAGGAACTCAACGAGTTGAAGTTGAAGCCGGAGAGATCATTGAATCACTGTATTTCTACTATTTGTTTGTATAATCTCTGAGATACTATGTTGACAAAATGGGACATTAGATACCCTTTAGAATGAAGCCAACTGCCATTAGTATCTCTAAGGTAGTAAGTCCATCAATAGCAGTATAGGAATCAGTGATTCGCCCATTCAGTCCATTCATTGAGTCTTCATTTAGTATCGTACTATTATTTATTTTGTTCCCACTGATTATGCTACTACCACTGTTTTGATCCTTTATAGTATAAATCAACCGCTCTCACAAATTGCACTTTATGGGTGCTTACCTATCCCGTAGTATATTTTACACCTTCCTATCTGGACCTAGCACTCGACTCATCTGTATGCTATATCAGCACTTCTTCTTGACTGCTCCACCTTGTGTGTCTACTTAATGATTGCAGCCTAGTCCAGAGTCCTATGTGGTCTAGTAGTTAGGATTCATGGGTTCCATCCATGCAGCCAGGGTTCGATGAGGACCAGTTATGGTGGAATTAACCACAGTGATGCTGAAGTGTTTGCAAAACTCCGGACCGCAGGCGCCTGCGGTGGATCTTTTCCGTGGGCAAACGCGATCACCACCACATCATGCAGGCCCTTCGTTTTTTCTGGTGAGGTGATACATGTGATGGTGGAATTGCTTTTTTGTACGATTTTTCCTACCGTGGGGATTTCTTCGTTGTTGTCGTAAAATCAGATGTCACACTTGGTAATTGAGCCATCTGCAGCATATAACAATAATAGTGTAGTGATAACGAAATAGAGATAATGAGAACGCAAGTATTAAAGATATAAGAAATAACGTAGGCATTAGCTAAAGGTACTATACAGAGCGATAAGGAACAACTTCACTATATGATATATCGGCCGCGAATAGACTATCGGTCTGCCACACTTGCGGTGCAGAGTTTTGCAAATATCTCAGCATCGTTGTGGTTTCATTTCACGTATGAAATGTTACTTCTTAGGTTGGGCACATGTAGCTCAATGTTTAGAGATGCTTTGCGATATACACGTGCTCGTTGGTTCAAACCAGGGTCCAGGATTCACCAAGGTTTTTATCCATCATGGGTAAACATATTAGTACTAGACTTGTCTGGTAGGGTAACAGCACTGACAGAAACGCCGGTAGGCCACGACAAGTAGGTAGGTTATTGGTAGGCCAGATATGCATTCGACCATCTCTAACAATGACTAATGAATTATCAAATGCAGGGTGCTTCCCTAAAGGATTAATCAACGCCAAACGTTTCAACCCTTATTCTTTTACTTGCTAGGGTATATATATATATATATATATATATATATATATATATAATTTCTAGGATCAGTTACTTTTATCAGTGATTCCTGCTTACCTTACTGACAAGGTCAGCAAGAGCATCATTCAGTCAAGCAGCACTTCCGCTAGAATTAATTCAAAACATCACAAACTGTTTCACGATCTCCATGTTCAGGTACATGATAATGTAAGGTGAGTATAGGGTGCATCTTTCTACAAAATAAACCCTCACATTTCACACGCTTGTTAGACCACCAGTCGTTGAGTACTGAAGCATATCGAGTATCCATGTTCTATGTGCCGTTTTTCGGGCCTTAACCCATTCCGCCCGGCTAAGAAATTGCGTTGTTGGTCCAACGGATTGCGCGCAATTTTTCGTCGGTTGTAGGCTTTTTGTTGGTTGATCTTTTCTAAATAATCTTTCTAAATAACAAATAATCTTTTTTTCAATAAGTAGGGGAATTGAGGCATTTTGAACGTGAGAATTGTAGAATAGAATAGACTTTGAGCTATTGTTCTATGGGTGTGAATGATACGTATGCCACTACATGCTGTGTATTACTTTACTATGGTCCATATCGCTGATATATTGCTGTCGGCATTTGGAAGCATTCTGCAGGTTATGTTGGGTTTATTTCGGTATTTTTTAATATCCGCACATTCCATACGCTAACCATCGTTATTAAAACGAAATAACAGTTAATCGTTGGTTAGAGGTTCTTGACGGTTTACCGCCTCATCGTGGATGGGAGGTGTTTCTGGGTGTCGAACTGCGATGTACAGTGGGGGGATTCGTTCCCACGGCAGGGTCTTCCAAGCTGAGAAGGAGTCCGGCATGCTGCGACTGCCTGTCGTGGTGACGACCTGGGCAGACTTTGGCCAGGCTGTCCTAGAGATTCCAAGCAACCACAATGGCTTAACCAGCAAATCTCCGATAAATGGTGATTATGCTGGGCTCCGCACAACCAGTGAGGACGGTTCGTTCAAGTCTCAAGTGTTAGTTAGAGTGCCAGTCAATGAATTTTTCCGAAGACACATTCTTTGTGAATCATTAGGTCTAAAGAATGGTTTTTGTAACCTCACTCGTCCTATTTTGATCTGCTTTCTACTCTCTATTGACTGGATATACACTGCGGTAAAAGAAAAAACTCTGGAACCCATTAAACTCGATATGGACACTATACTGTCCATAGGAGGGGGCGGATAGCACAGTACTAGTGATGCCGGTCATCACGAGCACCGTGCTTGCTCGGTACCGCTTCGGGTTCACCGAGCCTCTAATACTCACGGGCTCGGGAAATTGGTACCGAACTTGTCAGAGAGAAGTCTACTCTGTTCCAATCAAGGAGAGTGCTCTGGTCTGGCTATCTATGGGCTCCAGTGAGAATCTACTCGACCGTCGTTATACGACCAGCAAGTTGAAATGAAGACCGCCAAGCAGCAGCCGAAGCCACACGTAAAAGTTAGAAGGCCCAAGTGGATGGTAGATTTGAGGAAATGAATCGAATATGAGAAGTGCTAGGATCCGCAGAGCAGATGTGAAGCCGGATCGTATAAAATAAGTAAAAAAAATTAGCGTCCATAGAAAGCGGAATGCGGTAACTGACGTCCTTTTGTTATGACATATCATACTCTACTTTTACGTTTTATATTTTTTCTAATAAAATTTCTTCATAAGAAATTTCTGTGTCTGTAGAAGGATACGTTTGGATCGAAACTTCAGCTTTACTCTCGAAGCACAACACAATTCATTCCTTAGTATACTTAGTCCGCCACGCGAGACTTATGAGCTCCTAATGTGCGCCTACCAAATCAGGGCCAACTATAAAGGACGTCATTTTAGAATCTAATAATACAAAATCACGATGCCTGTTATTTCCTTGCAGTTCTCCTGAGCTCACTCGCCCTACTGTACACAGGCACCATATGGTTTATTAGGCGCTCTCTACTTGGGACAAACGACAATTAACAACTTTAAAGGTGATATGGGTTATTTTGTGAGCGCGATGCTACAAACATACGTTAAACGTTTCAATTTCATCATTGTCATTTATCATCAATAGATGTTCAGCATAAACGGTAACAGGTCTGAGCAGTGAATGATTCGTCTTGCCGCTAAATTTTTGATTTGTGTCGTTCAGATCAATGACTTTCTACAGTACTGTCTTTTTAAAGGACGCCCGGAGATTCTCTGTTTTTCATAGAAAAAACATCTTGATAGATTGTTTTTTTCCTATAGAGATTATTTAAACTCTGGAGTAGCATGTCGTAGGGAAATCATTCAGTACCACCTGGTGAACTATCTGATTCTTGTCTTAAGAAATATTAGTAAATTAACCATGCGCTTTATGGAAGCTAAGAAAGGCGGGAAGCTATTTAAATGTAATAGGAATCCATTTTTTGATATGATGCTTAACAACTGCTTAATTACAGTATTTTATTTGCCGATATTGTGAACTTCACGGTTTTGGCAGCTCAACTGACGGCAAAGGATCTTGTACGAACTTTGAACGAATTATACAGCAAATTTGATAAGGATGCTCAGGTTGGCTTATATTTTATTTGGGAGTGTCATGTCTTAAATTTATGCAATGTGGGTAAAATTGCCCTGAGTATATTTTCTCGAAATAGTACTCAATTTCACCTCTGTGGTCTTCAGTTATATTTCGTTAGGTGAGGTGAGGCTTCGTAAAGAAGATAGAGATACTTTCATTGTATACTTGATGTTTGACTACCTTTCCTTCACAGAGAATCATACAGTACTTAGCAGAACATCTATTTTAGCAATTTTGCTTGTTGGTCATGATTCTTCGGTCCTGAAATCCCAAAAGATCCGTGCTAATTTCTTCCCAGATAGCCACCATAGGCAGTTGTATATTCCTTGTGGACATATGGGCTTGCGATTATGTCATTGTGGTAACTTTGACACTTGCTGGCCCTCATTTGCTAACCTCAGAATTTTCGAGATCTTTCTCTGCTTAGGTAGTCCTTCCAGTTGAAATGAATCCCTGGTTCTGTAACATAGGAGAGAACACATTAACACTTCTCCACCAGTCCAACTGAAGTGATGATGAATTAAGGAGGAACACTAAGACAATGTAGAAATAAGACGTTAGGCGTTTGCCATTCAATTGGGGAAATGCCATGAACTCGACTCTACTAAACGTCCTAATAGTGATTCATTGCATATCCAGCCTACGTACTGATTTGCGAGGACTAGTGGTATCTCAATTCAGTGTATTTTAATAACTCAAAAGACAGACTTTCTATAAGCCTCCACATAAATACGCAATATATTTACTTATTTGTTCTTACGAACCGATCTTGTTGAGCTAATGCGAGATTAGTACAGTTGTCGTTGTTGTTATTGTTGTCGTTATCGTTGTTGTTGTTGTTGGTCGTTGACTGACGTTTCGGCGATTTCGTTTTCCTCAGAACCGTGCTGCTATGAACGCTACTCCACTCAATCAACCTCGCTTCGTCTCAACAAGATCGGTATTTTTCCTTGATTTCTCAGAAGCTTGACAACGTACGTGGTGGGATATCAGGCTTGGTTTTTCCGAGAATGGGATCGAGCCAACAACCATATGTGTGCTTCAACAGTCCACTAGCCTCTATGCTATGTGCTCCAGTTTCCATCGAGAAACACTATAGCAACTAGTAATATAATTGCAGGATTGAAGTAAAATGTTATCTTTCATAGCATAGAAAGAGCTGTAACTTGAGAATTGAGGATGTAAATTTCTTTATTATTATATCTGTTTCTGGAATAAATGAATTATTGTGTAAGTTTAGAAGAAGAATTATGTTGTCCAAGTCGATGTTTTTCTCGTTTGTCAACTTATTTAAGAGCTCGTTTTATTCAATGTTTATTAGAAGGTCAGTATACAAGAAGGATAGTAGTTTCGTCTGTCTTTCTAGAAGCTTCAATGCATGCGTATCAAATTTCTTGGCGATTGCTACTATTGTGTGTCCGGTATGCCTGTGAACCGACCGAATCATGCTGATATGTGTGTGGTGATGGGATTGGAGATGATAAAGACAATAAAGTAAGTGCTACGTATGACGACTGCAGTGGAATTTACTTCCAATTTTTTTTCTTGTTCCTCATAGATCAGAATTTTAACGATCGTCTGTAGACTCAGTAAATCAGAACTCTAGTAGCGATATTTTACAGTGAAGTATTAAGACAGATAAGTCTTTTTTAAGCAACCATAAAATGTAGACGAATTCCGATTTAGACATAGCACGGATATGTTTCATCTTTACAAAAACCGCGACTTCAACATAATTTTCGTTTCACTGGTATTTTAGGTTGAGTTGCGAGCGTAGTGCAGTGGTTAGATGCGCTCTGCTACATACATAGGATCGATCCCAGCGCCGTAGTTTCACCAGTTCTTTCATCCCTCCGGGGTCGCCAAACTCTTGTCTGGGAGGGTAGCAGCACTGACTCGATACATCCGTAGGCGACCACGGTTCATTGTATAGGACAGATATGCATTCAATCAGCTCTAACGATGAAGTCGTATGCACGGCGCATCCCTCAGGAATTGATCAACCCTTAGAGCTTTATACTTTTATTCTTTTCATCTTACTGTTGAGCTAGTTAATTTTTAAGAGTTTTGAAATGCACACTTATTTTGTCTCCAAAGAGAAGGTGGAGGGATTTTTTATATAATTTTCCACTTGTGACGTTAATTTTTTATTTACTGCCTTTTTCATCCTTTCACGACAGGTTATTACGTGTGATACAACTACAGTGATGCTGAGGTATTTGCAAAACTCCGGACCGTAGGTGTCTGCGTTGGGGAACGGATGACCTACTACGCTTTGCTGGGGCTAATGCGTTCACCACAGCACCATGCGGGTCCTGCGTTTTGCCTGTCTGTCAGCTAGATTTCTATCTACTATTGCCATCAGCAATCACCCGTCGACAACATTGATCTAGAGAGTCCTAGAATCTAGAATGATTAATCTAGAGAATAATAGAGATGAAAAAATCTAAAAAGGCAGTGAATAGAAAGTTAACATTGTGATTTTCAACTATAGCCTCACCTTGGCTGGGTTCAATGCCGATTTGGGCTCGCCAGATCAATCTCGTTGACGGGTACTTACAAATGGCACTGATCGATAGAAAACTAGCTGAGAGACAGGCGAAACGGAGGATCTGCATGGTATGGTGGTGAACGCGTTAGCCCCCGGAAAGGGTAATAACGCGTTCGCTCCTCACCGCAGACACCTGCGGTCCGGAGTTTTGCAAGTAACTCAGCATCATTGTGGTTTCCACTTGTACTTTGTGATACTCATTAAAAAGTTCCAGACAAATTCGTGTTGCAACCGGCGTTGATGTGAACATGAGAATCGGTGTACATACCGGATCCGTACTGTGTGGTATACTTGGTCTCCGAAAATGGCAATTTGATATTTGGAGTGATGATGTGACATTAGCAAATCATATGGAATCAGCCGGAGTGCCAGGGTATAAAAACATTAGAAATATCGATGTCGAATTCACTTCATAACCAATAGTATTGAGAGCTTTAATGTTAACAATGAAATTTTTATCTTATCTGTGACATTTATAAGTTTATTTGTAAAGATAAATTGGACGACATTATTGTTTCACTGAACGGTGCCATTTACTTCTCAATGGATGGCTCAATCACGCTCTTATATAGCAATTAAGCAAAGTATCTTTTAGAATTTTCATCTTAGATACCAGATTCTATAGGCGCACTTATAATCAAAGTAGGGAGTGTGTGGTGCGGTGGTCGGAGGCGCCATGCAATACACATGGGGTCGATTCCCGCGCTCCAGGCCCACCAAGCCTTACATCCCTTCAGAATCGAAGGATTGGTACCAGACTTGTCTGGGACAATAGCAGCACTGGCTCCATACATCGGTAGGCCACCGTGAGTCATTGTAAAGGCCAGATATGAATTCAATGACCTCTAAACGATGCTTATTTAAGTCGAATGCACGGCGCATCCCTCAGGGATTGATCAACGCTGAGAGCTTTTTTGTCTTTTTATAGTCGAAGTTGTTGTTTTCTATTTTGTTGTAAAACTATGTGCTCAACTTAATTCAATATATAAGGTATATAGCTTATCTTAAATTTGTCAAAAATCCTGTGGCTTTGAAAATTTTTAGAATTTTGGTATAGGAATTGCTCAGGTGAATTTTATCATCAGTTAGAGGAGAAATGAGTGCGTTCGATAATATTCGATGGAATCGGATGATAGGCTTCTTCTTGTCGTTCTTTACTACGTGAGCTCTGTGTGGTGGGCTCACTTTAGAAAAGTAGATGGCTCAGAAAACTGTTTGGAAGGAAACAAAACCTTTTTAATTGATCGATTTCTTTCTAATCTTATTCTCAAGTTTTTATAATTTTTTGTTACAAATAGTGAAAAGAATGTTCCAGAGCTGTGCATATTACGAAGACAACAAAGGATATGCTGCTTGGTGACTACTGCATCGTCGAGGCAAAGTATATTTTTCTGTCCTCATTGCAAATCGCCACATTAATTTAAATTATTCGAATTCGTCTTTACGTGCAGAAAGCCGCTTGTATTATCTTTGTTACTGTTAATCGCTGAAAAACTCGGTACCAACTAAGCATTCATTTGTTCCTTTTGCGCGCTACAGTTTTCTTATGAATCCGCTTCCTGGAAAGATGCGAAAAACATCACGTTTTCCTAGTTTGCTTCTCTTATCCTTTCTTTTCTCCGCGAACAGCCAACAAACCATAACTTTGCGAGCTATGCTGTAGGAGTACAGGTTTAACTCTGGCTAACCTTTCCAGGTAGACAGGTTAAGCTCTTTTCTAGCCCGAATAACCCTTTTGAAACTAAGAATGCAGCGCTGTACTTCCCAGTGTAGTATCGAGAAACAGTAAGCGCTCTGATATACTCCACACATCCACTATTACTGTTTCCGTATCCTATTTCAGATCCGATGATCCCTATGTGTTGGCATGCGGTGAGCCTACATATCACATATTACCCGACAAAACATCTGTGATAGAAAGAACAGCATCGATTTATAGGAACAGGTAGCTGAAGATTTTGAACCAAGATGAATAGGGTGAACTTTTTTAATCATTTCTCTTATTACATGAACTGAATTCGTATAACACCGCAGATCACATCACTTCTCACATTTGATTCTTTTCCTTGCATCCACCGTTCACTGCGATTTTCGGACATTTTGTGCTTGTGGCTTCGGCTTGGCTCCTTCAGGATTTTTTGTCTTCTTTAGGAATGTCGTCGAAGGCTGCTCAAGCTAAACCTCTCTGGAAGTGTGGGATATCCGGGATCCCCGCATATGGTTAGCCAACTGATTCAAGACAAGTCTGGTACCAATTGTCCTATTCCGGAGAAAGGAGTGGTTTGGTGGGTCCGAGGCGGTGTCAAATCAACGCTCGGTTGGGTTCGACCTTCAACTTAATGAACGGGATCACTACCGCTGCACCACCCGCTCCATGTAGGAGCAATTACTGAAACGAAACACAAACGCATCTTCATACATGTTTTCAATAATCTTTTCTTGCATGAAAAGTCATACTTCACCTCTACAACTTTCTTGAATATAAAGAATGATAGCTTGACCTTTACCTTTGCACGAATGGGAGTGATGGATGCTTTCTTTTCCTGCTCTATCTTTAGCCTGTCGTACCCTGTAGGCACGCTCCGTTTGTCGGTCAAAATCTCCTTCTTATCTCAGCTTAACTGGTTTGAATGACGACTTTTGCTCCTCAGTTCATTCTTGTTGACGGGTGATTGCTGACTGAACCGTTGGCATTAAAAGACTGGTTGAGAGAAGAGCAGAACGAGAGCCTCAGCAGTGCCGTGTTTAACACGTGAGCATCCGGGAAGACCAAAGAAAATCGCGGTTCTGAAGTTCAAGCTTTGCAAACATCTCAGTATCATCGTTGTTGTATTTTACACAATATCCTGTGAGAAAAATAATGAGCAGTAGATAAAAAGTTACATATTTTGACTATTCCATCTTCTGTTACTCATTCCTTTCATCCCCTTAATTCTTCACCTATTCTTCACCTGCATGGTGTGGTGGTGAACGCGTTAGTCCCGGAAAGGGTAATAAAACGTTCGTTCCCCACCGCAGGCACAGGCGCTCCAGAGTTTTGCAAATATCTCAGCATCATTGTGGTTGTATTTCGCATTACACCCTGCCGTGAAAAATTGTAGTAGGCAGCAAATAAAAAGTTACCATTATTCTTGAGTTTTTAATGGATTACTTAAGTAATTAAGAAAGTTGTTTTTCTTTCTGTGATGAATGCTCACTCTCTGAGGTGACTGGATTCGTTTTTCTCTTTCCCAAAATTTTTAAAAAAAATTAAAAATATGCTGGAAATCCCTTGGTTTTGAAAACAGCCAAGTTGAGTTAGCGATTTAGTATGAGAAGAGAAAAAGGTTCGAAATCGCCTCCATACCATCTTCTTTCATAAAACATCGAGTAACAAATCGAAAGAATTTAGTCTGGAGCTTATCAACTTTTTTCTGTCAGATCTTTACTTTTCTTCAATTCTCAAATGTTTAGAAATGTGCTAGCGAAATTGTGGACAAAAGTTTTCATCGTAGTTTTGAATTTCTACAGTAAGCCACTTTCTTGTTTTCGTATCCTCTTGGGTCAATATAAGCCACTTTTTGGTATGTACTATTTTACTCCGATTATTTTTAAAACTAAATCAATAGCTGCTCTGAAGTAGCATACAGTGTGGTTATGGAAGAAAAGCATCAGCTCATAAGACATTAAATTTCCTTATTTTCTGGGCTCCATTGAAAAAACAGGGAAATTTTGTGGGAGGTTGTCATTTACAGGCGAACGTTTGATCTTTGTGACAGCGACAAGTCCGGCAGTCTTTCCAATAACTCCGGTGGGATATCAACTCGACACAGCATGAAGGCCAAGGTGCGATCTGCAATTTTGGAAACAAAAGCAAAGTGTTGCAAAGTCCTATTAAAGACAGTAATAAGGAAGATCATCATTTACTATTAGGTAGTTTTGTATACATAACCCTGGCTTATAAGTAGTGGATAGTTGAGCGACATACTCTACAAGCCGCTAGGAATTTCGTCCCAGTGATTATTTTTTTAATCTCTGCTGAAAGGACATTCGTTTAAGCAGTGATTAAAATGGGAGTCTTTTGGTGGAGTATGTGTACTATAAGAAAATCGATGACATCATCATAAATCGTCAAAGATTTTACATTGCTATTCCAAAGTCCTACACAAAGACCACAGCATTTTGTAATAGTTCCCGGGATCGACTTTCTATTAACCTCGGCATTGGAATATAACGTCAGCTAGCGTTGTATTGTATTGTGTTTTTTATGGAAGTAAATGTATGCTGTTTAAAAACCTCGCGATTGCTGAACAAGAAAACGACCACAGCATTGTTTCGTCCTGGCGAAATGCTCGTAGGAGTATTTTCTGATGAGTCTATTTAATCTCCATCTAATCTGTCAGTGCTATCAATTGAATTAATCTGCCAGGGACATCGTAGCATATAACATCATTTTAGAAGCGACAACTACGAGATGACTACGATTTAATAACTGCGTAATTTATTTCAGGTCTCAAAAATGGTCGAGTTTTGGGGCGCGGAGACACCATTCGCTAATTTCAACAGGAAAAAATCGTCGACGTGCTTCGAACCAGGCTTAATTACGGTAATGTTTGCAACAGTAGCGACCACATCAATTTGTTCATCATCCATTCATATTACATAGCAACTTAGCAGAAGTTCTTTAATTCGTAATTTTACGATGTATTACATTAGTGCAATCTTGTGGAAAGCTAAGGTTTCATACATTGCGATCTGTGACTAAAAACTTGCCAGTAACTTTTCTTTTGGAGCAACTCATTAATAATGAGCGAATATATTACGTTGGGACCGACTGTGGACGTTTGGTTAAAGATGACCCTTAATGCTTAGTGGACCGATCTTAGGTTCGATCGCATGCCCAGTGCCTTCCCAGCCCACCATTCCTCCTGGTTTGGCATATTGGAACCAGACTTGTTTCAGAGAATGGAAACATTGCTTTGATACATCAGCAGGTCATTGTAAGTCCTTGTATTGCCTAAATATGCATTTTATCACCTCTACGGAGTTTAATTCGTGGCGAACCTCTCCCAGATTGATCAACGCCGAATGCTTTTTCTTCTATTTTTAGTTACTACAACACTTGTTAAAAATGTAGTCTTGTCTTCCTAGAAGAACGGACGGCTCATGGAGAACATTCTCCATTGGATCGACACAGTTTTCACAGCCGTTACGGCTACTCTTTCCATTCTATACGGTTTCACGCAAGACCACTATTCCTGCGTACGCAAAGTTTTTTTCTCTTTTTGGAGAGCTTTTCATGTCCATGTGTAAGATGATACTTTCGCACTCTCTGTACTGTTACGCAATAGTTTGTCATCTAGACTGTTTTTGCAAATGGATGTGTTTCAACGCCTTTCAAATTTTCAACTTTGATAGACGTCTGAATTCTTCAACGCGTCTTGTCTAAAGGCACCTAACTTCCATGATCCGGAAAGATGTGACTAAGTAACGTTAAGCACACTACGATACTCTCTAGAAGATTTTAACTTCTCCATAGAACTTTTCTAAATTTATGTGAAAGAAGTTCGTCTTTCGTCTTAAGCAGAGGTATTGACGGAAGCAAAAGAAGTTTGCTGAAAACCACCATTGTCTCTTATAAAGTCGTTAATTGTTCGTAGAAATTAATGTTCATGGCTAGCTCTGGTTGTATAGTTTTCACGATTCCATGTAAAGATAATAATTTTGAGAATATTTTTTACCGTAAACCAATTATTAAGTTAGACAAAACTGGATTTGACAAGGTTAAAATTGATAATATTGCTAGCAAAAATTTTTTTACGATTACTATTTAGTTAATCCAATCAATAAATCGTTAACTATCGTTAACTACTGTGTAGTACAGTGGTTAGAGGTGCTCTAAATGAATTCGATCGCGATAGGTTTAAATAGGTCGTTGATTCTATCGCGCACCTCGACCCCTTCGGCAAATTTTTACCACCTTATTTCTGAGGGTAGGAGCACTGAATTGATGTATCGGTAGGCCACCGAAAGTCATTGCCTAAGCGAGATGTGCATTCAACCACCTCTACCGATGCTTAATTAAGCTGAATGCCTAGCGCATCCTTTAGAGATTGATTAGTGCTACGAGGTTTATCCTTCTATCCGTTACCTCTTGATGGATATAATTAGAGTAGCATCTATTATTTTATTACTCGTAATAAAAATGTGTGCACTGCTGCTTATCCTAAGCAGCTCTTCACAAATCTCGTCAACAACATTTGGTTGATGAGGTCTACCTTGTCGCTGAATGCAGTACTTGATTTGTTTAACTTGTATCATCAAGGTACTCACTGTGAGCTTTCGAAAGTGATCATCACTATAGAAAAAAAATCTCGGCGTTGATCAATCCGTGAGGGATGCGCCACGCTTTCGACTTCACTAAGCATCGTTTGGAGGTGATTGAATTCATATCTGGCCTTTACAATGACTCGCGGTGGCCTACCGATTTATCCAGCCAGTGCTGCTATCCTTACACACAAGTCTGGTACCGACTTGAAAACCTCGAAGGGTTGGAAGGCTTGGTGAGCCACCAGCACCGGCAATCGATCCTATGTGTGTATTGCAGAACTCCTCCGACCACTACGCGATCATTACTATAGCATAACCAAATTTGGCCACCTCACATCGCTTGAAGTTTTGGCAACTTTCAGGATTCCAGAAGTCTCCCTTCCCATCTCCGCTGTATCAGTGTTTGATAATCAGAAGAATGAAAACATTGATTTTCACTTATTTTTGAAGAATGATAATCAAGTCTCCATCATCGGATTCATTGAGACAAACTAGCACCTCTTGTGACGACGTAATGTAAACGTTCTTTCATCATGATCAAAAAACGACGAATACCTGTGGAATGGCCTTAGAATGCTTTAGATTACAGACATCTTCTTCGACTACTATATTGTGCAATTGGTAGGGAACCAAGCACAGTGAAGATATGCTAATGCATTACCACTAACTTGGGTGCAATAGCACGAAATTAAAAAAGGCTGAGTTTAAACAGTTCGGACCGTCATCGTACATGTTGATTCAGGAAGACACACTTCGCCGCCCGAACTACAGTAACACAATTCAATCGATGACTCTTATCGAAAACAACCTCACAAATTTCTCGTTGAACAAGTCAGATAATTTTTACCTTCATTTATTTCTTTGCCGTCTTTTTCGCTTATTTGCGGGAGTGAATTAGACTTTTGTTTTATAGTGTTGAATGCATCTCATAAAATATGAACTCAAATGATTAGTCTTCTTAAGCATTAACAATATGTTCAACTGCCGTGATCCAACGAGCCAAGTATCGCCGTACCTTCTCTGGCCATTCAGGTGAGATGTTCATTAGAAAGCATGAGTTTACCAATAAGACTATGAAGTGCATTTTTTCGTTTTTTCAGCAATAAGGCAATTATCTGTAATTTTTCTGACTGTATGGTGTTCCTGTTTCTCTCTTTGCCAGCTTCATTCGCCAATATTCTGGTGTGCCGACTCTATTGCCCGTGAGTTTAATTTTTTTGTCAATTTCGGATTTGAGACACATTGTAAAAACGCTGGCGTTTTCGTGCTAATGGTGCATTTTCACAATAGTTTGCCGCCATATCATGGCTTATGGATGCTTCTAAGTGTCGAACTACGATGCTCTGCGGGGATTCATCTTCCAATGTTTTCACCTAAACTGAGAAAGAATTCGATTTTTCTACTCAGAAGCTGAGTTAAGAGTTACCAGTGCCAGTTATCATAACCTCCTGAGAAAAACCTAGTCTGAGGCGAAAACTCTTCCTGCTCACAAAAGTTGGCCATTACTTGTTGTGAGTCTTTGAGAATTCATGTCACAGATAGCTCATTCATGACACGGGTTGCTCAAGATTGTAGAGGAAACATTGTGAAGCAAGCAACAATGCATTTAATGTATAACTAGTTATTCGATGGCCTATCCTCACATATCATGCTGACTCCAGTTACTACTCCTTTGGTATCGCTGTGCTACATGCACCACCTATAGAAGTTACAGGGTGTGTGGTTTCTGCTGTGGATCGCAGATATGTTCTCTTTCCTCATCGGTGTACTGAATACAGGTTAGGCGTAGTTCCTCTATCTTCCGAAATAGCTGCGTTATGGCCATTCCTCCACAGCTAGTTGCCAGAAACTGTAGATCGAAGGGAAATTTTTTTCAATGTTTCCAGGTTTCTTTCTGGCCGTGGGTGGCCCATATCTCTAGTCGATCGAAGAGAGCAATGTATTAGCTTCTATACTCTTTCATTCAGAGTGGAAGTACAACATACGACTGGTCTGCTGCAGTTTTTCATCTTATTGATTCTCATTGTGCTCTCACTATTTGATCGGATTTGTCCGTATGCCCATTTGCTTCTCACTAGCGCATCGTTTCTAATTTCATCGTTCATTGCCATAGGACCACATGTAAGTGGTACTCTTATAATATTAAATATATTTGATTATGAAATCACAATTTAACGTATTATTTACTGCCTATTCTTTTTAACGGCAGGGTATCCATTGTGAAATATAACTTCAATGATGCTGAGATATTTGGAAAACTCCGGACCACAGGTGTATGCGGTGAGGAACGAACACGCGCTGTTGTCCTTACCGGTGAGCAGCGCACTTCACCAACACACCATCCGGGTCCCGTTAAAAAGAATAGGCAGTAAATAATTCGTTAAATTGTGATTATAACTGCGGCCTCAGCTTAACTGGGTTCGTTGCCGATTTGGTCCCTCCAGATCAATCCCGTTGACGGGTGATTGCTGATGGCAAAAGATCGATAGAACTAGCTGAGAGACAGGCAAAACGAAGGACCCAGATGGTGTGGTGGTGAAGTGCGCTGCTCCCCGGTAAGGACAACAGCGCGTGTTCGTTCCTCACCGCATACACCTGCGGTGCGGACTTTTGCAAATATCTCAGCATCATTGAAGTTATATGACATTAGTTCGAAGTCACATGAAGGATATGAAATCTTCCAATTACGTTTGTTGGTAATGTATATCCCTATGGTCGAAAGATTTTTTTCATAGCCTTTACATCGATGCCACTTCTTTCCTTTGCGCTTTTCAAGGGAGTGTTCGAGTTTGTAGCAAAGGGGAAAAATAGAAAAGTGGGAAATGGAAATCTGTATCATTTTTTCCAACGTATTCATTTTGTTGGAAACAGTTTCTTTTACAGATGATAATCGCCAAATCTGATCTACATGGAGTGAAACCATTCTCGTCTATGGTTTTCATGCCAGGTGAAACAATAACATTGACAGATTTCATAATAGAGGAACGGCGAATAGAGTGAAAAAATAAAAAGGAAGTAAGAAAGGGAAATATATAGAAGAGGAAATCTTCAGCCTGTGTGTCTCATATCACGTCTGTGTTTCTCCTCTACCGCATACCGTACTCGTATCGCTGCATACTGTTCACTGTTGATTTTGTGATTTTTGAGATCTTGCTCTCCATCTTCCCAGTATACGGTGCTACTCCAGCGCACAGCTTCCTCAGGTGTTTTCTTTTTTTTGAAATTTTTTGTCGCAGATTTGTTATGCTTTCGACATTGATCATTTCCTGGTGGATGTGTTGTACATTAGACTACGTTAATCATCACAGAAATGACTAAATGCATATTTGCCATACATAATAGCATGAGAAGGCTTATCAAACTATCAGACCAGTATTTTTACCGATTTGAGCTCCCCAGTTCAATCCCACTGACTGTTGATTGCTGATGGCACTGATCGATAGAACTAACTGAGAGACAGGCGAAACGAAAGGCCCGTATGTTGTGGTGGTGAACGCGTTAGCCCCGGGAAGGGTAATAGCGCGGTCGTTCCCCACCGCAGACACCTGTGGTCCGAAGTTTTGCAAATATCTCAGCATCATTGAAGCTATCAAATCAGTGTTTGCACTCTCCTAGACAAGGCTGGCGCCAATTTGCCGAGCCCGGTTGGATGGTGAGCTTGGGTAGCCTGGCGCGTGGTATCGAACCATCGACGATCATGTTCATTGCGGAACACCTCAACTGTGCTCCATGAGTAAAACGATTTGCAGTGTAAAGAAGTTCAGTCCCATTACTTTGTGGGAGCAAAACAATTCTCCTAAGAAATTCTGAATAATGCCAATGAAAATGATTTTTTCTTCGCAAATCTGATAACTAAGAAAAGGTACGGACATTTGAAAGATCTGAAAGACTTTTTAAGATCTAAGGAATTTGCTCTATATTTCAGCTATCAACTCACAACTGTCGCAATAAATCTGTCATTTCTTCTTGTCCTGATGTTATTTATCGATTGGATTGTACGTTTTTATATGTTCTTTAAAAGTCGGAGTAAATATTAATTCAAACTCTAAAATTAGAACTTAACCTGTTCGTGCCTCTGCCAATGAGCTTTTGCAAATAGATGTCGATGCTAAGGAAGCACCTCACTTTCTGACCTAGATTAATTTTTCTTGCTATTCTATTGCACTTTCTATGTTACTTATAATATTAATTGGTCCCTATGAACAGCAGCAGAGCATTCTGTTAGGTTGGCACCATCTTTATCATCACAATCCCACTAATCAATAAGTAGCTGGCTGGGCTAGCAGTAGACTCAACCAGAGTTTATTTGACCCCGTACCTATTTATTTGATCTCGTTTGTTCGAGGGACAGGATGATCACAATTTTTTGCCAGGCTACATTTCTTCGGTTTTTTTTTAAACGAAAACCTTTGCACCGGTAGTTCGCCCTTCTACGGTTTAGCATAGCTTAAGTCTCAACCTGGTTCTGGATTGGTGATGTCGAACTCCTTCTTAGTTTGGGTGACCCAGGTTTTGGAATGAACTCTTCTCTGCAGTGCATCAAAGTTCAGTTTCCATGGATATCCTCCACCATCTGTTTTAAAAGTGGTTTTCAAACCTAACTTTGTTAGATCTGAACATTCGATGCATTGTTTGAAACAGTTACTAAAATCGAATCAGTAGAAACACTCCGTAAGATGACTCTTATGTGGAATTTCAATAAAACTGTAATCGTCGGTACGATCTACAATTGAACTTTTTCGAATTCTTCTAAATGCTTCTTTCTTCAGACAAACTATGAGAGAAAGGCCGAAAACGTTTGCAATGTATCATTCAAAAATGAGGAACGTGATGTGGAAATGATGCAGGATATCAACAAGCTTCTAATTGAAAACATTCTTCCAAGTAGTGTCGTTGGAAAGTTCCTAACACCAGACAGGCCAGTTGACGTACGTAATGAAAAACTTTCGCAAAATATTATCAGTGTTATGCGAAATGCAACCACAGTAGTGCTGAGATATTTGCAAAACTCTGAACCACAGGTGTTTGCGGTGCGGAACGAACGTGCTATTACCGTTTCCGGGGGGTAAAACGTTCCGTTCACCACTACACCTCGTGTGTCTTTCGTTTCGCCCGACATAAAAAATTGTAGTAGTCCTGCCATAAAAATTGTTGTAGACAGCAAATAAAAAGTTAACACTACCAGTGTTATTAGCAATGTCACTAAAGCCTATTTAAATCTTTGATTAGTGAAGTCTCAGCAGACAGTTAGTGATGATGATTGTACTCAACTCAGAAATATGAAATCAAATGAGGGAAAAAACATTAGCGAAAGTCTTAGCATGGTTACTATAACGTCGTAGTAAGCTTTAGCAGATTTTTTTACTATATTCGATCTTGTAATTCTAAAACCCTGAATGTGAGCCATGTATGGCTCGCATATGAAAGACTATGAGATGGGATAATAGGAACCACACATCGACCATACTATCGCTTTTCTCATCCTCTCAAAGTTGATTTTTCGGTGTTTAGTAAAGAGTTAAACTAGCACTAGTAATTAGATTAGCATTAAATTTTAGGAGCTCTATGCTCGGCAGCACAAGAATGTATGCGTCATGTTTGCATCCATACCGAATTTCAAGGATTTTTGGAGTCAGTGGGATACCAGTCGGAAGTTAGAATGTCTACGACTGCTGAATGAGATTATATGTGAATTTGATAAGGTCAGAAGTTTACACAGCTATTTTTCATACGTATAAATAAAAAGTGCACCATGACTATGACAAAGGAATTCTAAACTATGATGTAGAGCAACGGCTTTTTCATCTGACTGGCAGAATTGTCTAAGATGAAGTTAAACCTTCGGAAACATAGACTTTAAATCAATGAGCATATGGAAATACGTACTGTCAAAGGACATCCGATTAACACTAACCAGTCCTTGCATATGGGAGCAATCTGGAAATAGCTTGGCTTTGGGGTCGCACTTAGGTTTTTCTGGGAACGGCACCCAAAAAGTTTCACCATTTAGCAAAATATCAATGAAATGGAAATTACGCTGGGTCCACCAATGGTGTTGAAGAGGACCCATTTTTTTATCAAATACAAGTTTAAATAAAATGGTAAGAAGACGTCAAAGCATGCGAACGTCCTTATGCTCTAGTGCTTTGTAACTCGACCTTATCAAGTATAGTATAGGTGACTAGATGGATATTTCGTCTGTGCAATGCCTCGTGGAAGCCCTATTGATGCAAAAAATCAAAGTTTTTGTATTTTAGCAATTTGCCGACTTAAATGGGAAGGGGTAGCACAGTGGTTAGTGATGCCCTCTATCGGGAAGCAAACGTTGTGCAAGAAGTGCTGAGATCCACACAATAGATATGATAACGAGTAGTGTAAAATAAAAATTGTCCACTTCGCAGGAATACGTGGGTTTCATTGGCCCCGTTGTGGGTGGGACTGAATCAGTGGTCACGCATATGTACCTTTAATCGCTGAGCTATATGATCCACGGTATCTTAATTGAAATATATAGAAAAACTCTCCGTATCAAAATTGAAGCCAGTAATAGACATCTATGAACACCATGTGCAATGACATGGACTCCTGAGGGATATGCAGTTCAGCCAACAATCATGACGTTTGACCGACACCACAAATGAACATTGGTGATTAAGTTGCTAGTAAGAAGACAACTTATATTACCAAAGATTCTAACGGGTAGGTATTTTTGTCACTATTATAGCAGCTGTGTTTATTATTCAACATTACAGTTACTCTCTAAGCCGAAGTTTTCATCGATCGAAAAAATTAAGACCGTTGCCAGCACTTATATGGCGGCTGCTGGCCTAAATGAAATTGAAGGCGATATTGAAGAATGCGTTAGTACTTTTTTAATATCTTCGGCTAGACGAAGTTCTTAACAACTTTTCAAATGTCGGAACTATAGCTAAGTTTAGAATGTCCAGGAATAGAAACATGTATGTCGAACGAATAGAGTTCTCATCACTTTGATGCTGAATGTTTCACTTGTCATGTACCAATTAAAGGCGTGACTGACTTCACAACCCTAGAAACTGTCCTCTCGTTGATCATCAAACGATTCGAACTGGAGCCAGTGAAATCTCCATTTTTCCTTATGGCGTTAAAGGTTACTTCGATAAGGGCAAACCTGTGCCACGCAGAGACATTTCGGTAAATTAACTTCGACCAATTTCTTGTCGAAAGCTGTAAAAAAGTAGCTTCAACATTATGCTTTTATCTTTCGAATGACCGTAGTTCGCTAAACACCTCACATTTGAAGATGAGGCGAATGGAGTACACTGGTGTCCGGTCTAATTTCTCGATGTTCAACGGAACAATAGCTAGGCCATGTGACTCATCTGTTTATAAGTTGGCATCTAGTAAAGTTGGGTTTCGATATTTTCGTGAAAATTTGTAAGATTCTTTACAGGGCTTTATTGAAGACAATGAGAATTCTATCGTGGACGCAGTCGCTATAAACGCTGACGTCGGCTCTAATCGAGCAACGGACCTTGTGCGTTGTTTTAATTCAGTGTCTGGAGTTTCGAACATTTCGTAATTTTTTCATATGCACTGTTGTCATTCTCGACCGAGGTTCACGGAACAATCGGTTACATTGCAGAATCTGAAGATGTACCGTAATGCTACAATGATGATCGAATTCGCCTTAGCAATGTCACAGATACTCGACCAGCTGAACCGCGATTCATTTCAGAATTTCGAGCTAAGAATAGGTGAGTAGCCGGGTGATCTAGCTAGCAGAAGTGAAAAGAATTTCATAACTCATTAAAAAATCTAGGCTATGCAAGTGATACTCATGCTTGGTACTTTTCTCCATCCTTCATAACAACTGATTTTTCGGGCCGCTGGTGTCTGCGGTGGGGACCGAGTACGCTATTAACCTTCCCAGAGGCTAACGCGTCCACCACCACACCATGCGAATCCTTCGTTTCGCCTTTATATCCGCCGTGTTATTTATCTCGTTGTCGGGTGATTGCTGATAGCACCTATAGGTCATAGGTATAGGTGATAACGTATTCGGTCCTCACCGCAGACACTAGCAGTCTGGAGTTTTCCAAATATCTTAGCATCATTATTGTTATATTTCACACAATACCCTGCCATTAAAAATAGTAGGCGGGAAATAAAAATTGGTGAAATTGAGTCTTCATCGAAAAGTTGTGTTGCGAACAAAACAGCCCAGTGTGATGGCGTTCCAATCTCATTGCGTTCCGTTTCATAGGTTTTCTATTCTGGATTTTTCACATTTGTATTTCGCCACAAAGGAATTTCCACTTCTAACGGGAGAGGGAAAAATTTGGTTTTTGCTGCGGATCATAATATGCAACTGGCTACCGTTCTTACTTTCTTGGATACTTGGATGACCCGTCTTTACTGGTTGTGCGGGGCCCAGCATAATTTACATTTTTTGACGTTTTACTGGTTTAGCCACAGTGGTTCCTTGGAGTCCCGAAGCCAAAGTCTGACCCAGGTCGTTACCACCACAGGCACTAGTCGCCTTTGTGTATAAGAGGGAGAATTGCCACCATACGGCTAGTTTGATACCAGGGCGGTAGTGGAGCCTAGTATTGGTTTATTTTTAGTTGGTTTCTTGATGGAAACATCCGATTTCTCTCCGGCTTTGGAGATTCTGTTGGGGGATGGATACCTACACCATACACCGCAACCGCAACCTAGGAACATTTCCCATCCACGTGAGGCGGTAAACCGTTGGGAGGGATTATTATTCAGCGCCTGTTAATTGTTGCTATCAGAGTTTGGTGAATAGTAGCCAGTGATGTGTGTGAAGAATCAATTTTGTTTCAAATGCGATTTTACTTCAGGTTCTATGGTTTTTTGAGGTATTTGGCTGACTGGATTGCGGTCCACGTGACTTTTCCAGGCTTTGAAGAGGGTAAAATACGCCGAAATGTCAGCTTGTGTCAATAGAGAGTATAACAACAACCTCATTTGTGCTTATCAAGAAAGCAGCGAATTATTGGTTAGTACTGTGGTTAATGGAAACTCGATTTCGGGAAAAGTCGATAGTGTTTATCTTTTTTTAACGAGTAGAAAGGAAATGGAAGAATGCGAAGCAGGGCGATCAGTTGCAGATGGATGCGTTAGAAGGTCTTAGTTACCGAGCTTTCGAGGTGGAATCCTTTCTTTCGAGTACAACAACGGTTAAATCGCGGGCTTCCTTGTTTTTCTACAATGCCATCACAAATAGTGTTGTCCTTGTCGAGCACTGTTATCTATTGCGATTTTACCTTCTGTAATACAATGCTAGCTCCCTATATGAAGTGCTCAATATGGTTTTTGCGTTGTCGACTAGGTACTAAGATAATGTCAAAGCTTTTCTTCGATTGCCATCGGCATAGTCGCTGATCCATGTAGATCAGGGATTTATTGCTTACGGCTAGACTTCAGCTGCCAAAAAGGCTTTTGGCATTGGTTTTTCTAAACTGGACTTCACAGCCGGAGTTGTCGGACTTTTCTGAGCCTGGCGATCCCTCGCAATGGATAAACTTTTGGCGTGACCATAGATCGTTATAGGATAATAATCCGTCGTTATTATTCGGTCTACTGGAAGCCGTAAAACAAAGCAACGTTGCGAAAAAAAAGCAACTAGTATTTCTTGAAACCTCCTAACGGTTTACCGCCTCGTAGCTGGGAGGTGTTTCCGGGTGTCGGATTACGATGTACAATGGGGGAATTCGTCTCCCCGCCAGGGTCTCCCAAGCTGAGAAAGAGTCCAGCGTTCCCATCAAGAAGCTTAGCTAAGAGTAAGCCAATACCAGTTCCTCGTATCAAAGTTGCATGGTTGCAAATCTCCCTCTGATCCACAAGGGCTGCGATTGCTTGTCGCGGTGACGATCTGTGGTACCGAAAAATGGTGTTTATGATGGGGTCCGCACAACTGGTGACGACGGTCCGTTCAAGTATCAAGTATCAAGTAAGTATTTCTTGAACGGAAACATTCACCAACAACGCTTATGGAAATCTCGATTTTCTTCATTTAAATTGGAACGACTTCCACCTTAGTGCAGTTCTACATCTGAGATTAAGCGTCATCAAAAAAGCATTCTTACCATGATTTGTAAATGGTCCCTCTTCGCATTTCCTTCAAATATCAACACTTCTTCCGCCCGTTTTATTTTCTGCAACCGTCACCTCCAACAGTGATGGGACGCGCTTGTGGATTATTGCTGCCACCGGTTATCTACCTTCTTTTTTTGTCAATGACATATTCAGTGGTGATTCATTACGAAACAGTCGTGCGAGGCCGTCTTTTTTTTTTTACGACAGTCACTCGCTGACCTTTGCAAATTCAATAGAAGTTTACTGCGTGTCCACTAGGGTTCTCCATGCACCTGAGACCTAGCGTTTTCTGTAATTGGGCGATTGAACAGACTGGGACGATGTAATCAAATTTGATTTAGCCGAGAAACACTTGGAAATAATCAACATTTTTCTTTGTGCTTGGTGCAATATATTGTCAGTTCTAGGTATGAGTGTAGGTCCATTAGTTGCTGGAGTGATTGGTGCACAAAAGCCACAATATGATATCTGGGGAAATACCGTGAATCTTGCCAGCCGAATGGATACCCATGGTGAACCGAGGAAAATACATGTAAATCTGTATTTCTGGAATAAAAATTTTTGCATATTTTTGATCCACGTTGAATGAATTCTTGTGAATTTTTTTTTTGCTGTTCTCGTTACAAAAAGTATAGAAACATTTACAGCATGGTGGGGAATTCTAGGTCACAACGGAAATGGGTGAACTTCTGCGTCGTGGTGGCTTTCGAGTACAGAGCCGAGGTAAAATCAAAGTGAAAGGCGTAAAGGTGATGGTGCTTTCAGTTCTTCTTTAGAGAACTAGAATATTTACACAACAATCACCTCACCTCTATGACAGGGGTCCCCATTAAAAACCTAGTGACTCAAAAGTCCACCGACAACGGCTTCAGTCTTCCCTATCGTGCTCTACGACTAAGCACTTCCTTATACTGTTTTTGAAGAGAGGGTAGCAAGGGGTATCCATCTGATCTTTGCCAGTGGAGAACTTTGTTCATAACAGTGCGTGTGTTTGGAAATGTTGAGTTTTTATTTAGCTTTGATAGGAGCTACAAGGCTTTCTACTATGCATTCTCATAGGAGGAACCCTTAAGCGGTGAGAAAGTTGACCACTGATGTAAATTTATGTGGATGGAAATTCTAATAACCAGTTATAGATAGATTATTGCATGACACTTGCTTAAAATGACACGCTCTGTATTTTAGGAACCAATGGAGACTTTTTTCGTAGAAGTCGACTCAAAACGAAATTCTTCGGTGTCGAACGTTTCCAACCTCCCGAATTCTTAATCGAATTTTCTTTTTTTCGATTAGCAAACCTACTTTAACTGGTAGGGCTTTATTGAATAAAATATACCGGTGCAAGTTGTGTAACATCTTTATTTCATATTTTCGTTTGTGTGCTTTACGTACTATCGGTTCATGTTCAGTGGTCGTCGTTAAGACGTACTACATGTCGTTATTAGATGTTTTCTGACATTTTTGAGACACCACTGGATGGAAGCGTTAACCACGGTACAAATCCCGAAAGCAGGACGAAGATCCACTTATCAAAGAAACTACACTGTCTGTAACGCGTTCTCTTCTTCACCCTCGATTCTCAGTTTATCCGTTTACGTGGGCTTTATCTGGGCTTACATGCCGTATGCTGTTTATTCGTATTCAACCGCAATTAGTGCAGTTTCAGTTATCCCTGATTGTCGATTTGAAAACTCAGGATTGCCTTTTCCATATGTGATACCTAATAGATCTACCGTCACATTTTGACCAAACTTTGATCTTGTTTACGTAGCATCCAGTTTGCCATATATATGCTATTCCAGGAAGAATAGTCGAGTTGAAAGACGGATTTGAATCGTAGTGTCCCATGTTTTTCTTCTGTCGGTGCTCTTATAGGCTCTTTAAGCTGTTCAGCTCTTGCAGTTTCAGTGTAGAACCAATTTCCAGTTATGTTCACGTTCCGTCCCATTCCCAACGCATCTGGATCATTCCGATGTCTTCACTTATAGGACTTGGAACACCAGAGGCAAAACGCACATAACGGACATTATTTTCTTTAGGCAAATAAATATAGACACAAATACAATGGAATGATAACACGTGTGAAAAGTACAAGGATCATTTGCTTGGTTTCGTAGGGGAATATCTTCTGGCTTGGCTCGCCATGTTCTTGATCAGATCGTTTCAAAATATTGACGTCGGCGCCTTTAAATTACGAGAGATGCAACGTCTTTATACGAGATAGAGCAGACATATGAGTCGAACTACAATTCGAGCAAAAATACAAAATCCGGTTTCCCTCTATCTTGAGAAACACTGAAGCGCACGGCAGGGCATGTTAGTCACGACTCTTACAAAGTGAATGTGAAACGAAAAGATGAAATAATGTTCACTGAACTGAACAAAAAGAAAGTCGGTATAAGTAAAGCAAGTTGTCAAAGGGTTCAAAAAGTCTATATTAATGATATACTAGTTTTAGCAGTTTCTTCCCATGATTTTATGAGCATACGTCAGCAGAAAACGACAAGATAGACGAACATGAAAAAGGAACATCTGCCCTGAAAATAAGTGTTCATCTGATCTCCACCTATTGTTAACCGTGAACGAAAAACCCTCAGTCTTTCAAGTAGTAAATACCACCAGAAACTGCCAACGTCTATCCGATCGCATTCTCGTGCATAATTTTAAAAGAGCGGTGTGAATCTGCAAAACAAACTGTTTTTAGTGCTCTAGTCTTTTTTAAATGAAATGTTTCAATCTAAAGGAAAGATTCATCTGTCTCGTTAATTACACTCATAAGTTCTTAAAGATCTATTTGTCTAGAAAAAGTTCTCAGCTATCTATCAAAGTTAGGAAAGTAGTTTTTGAGGACCAACAATTTCACTCAATAAAAAGGTCTCATCTGTCTATGTGAATTGCCCCAGAGACTGAAAGTTGAATAGCACATTCGGTAATGAATGACTAATCCGCAGTTCAAACAGTTAACTGGGAAGACAGTAATCTTCTTTTGGTGTAAAGCTATAGGCCTCCTATGTTGACAACCGAACAGCGCATTTGATATGTCAGAACTCTAGAGGAAGGGCACTTGCCTATCCACCAAAATACACGACTAAGAGAAATGTATGGGTGATCCGTAGATTTGATTCCTGGAAAGTGACATCTGATTAACCAAGTGTGTATGCATACTCTCCATGGTTCTTATTGGTTGGAATGGCCTACTCCTGTATAGATTTGTCTTTACGTGGACACCAGTACATTCATCTTCATTTGCCTAGAGGGCATTGAATAAAAGAATCCTATTAACGAAACTATCCGAATTAAAGCCTTTCCCGTATGAATGGAAAGCACCACTCTCAAGGCCTTTTAATGCATTTATTTCTCCTTTCTGATTACTAATAAACACAATAAACACTTAGGAAAAAAGTTCCTCATACCCTCCACTTGATCACGCTTATTAAATAAATGTCATTACATGTTTAAATTTTGTTTACTACCCATTATTATCTTTTCACGGCGGAGTATATGTGAAATACGCCACTATAATGCTGAAATATTTGCAAAACTTCCAAGTTTTGGACTACAGCCCAGCTCGGAAGCCGAGATTATCCTTTCCAAGGCTCAAGTTTTACCAATTGCACCAATGAGACCCTCGTTTTGCCACTCTCTTTTTCTATTTAAAAATGTCATAATATGTTACAACGCACGATTACTTGTGTTAATAGTCCTCAAATCAAGAACAGAAGCAGGGAATTCAGCTCCCGCTCGGAGAGAACCGGTGACGGAGAGACACTGCACACCAGCGTACTAAAAGGTAAGCGCCCTAACAATCACTCGAATAACATCATTCTACGAAGGTTCGCCTGTTTTTCACCTTTCGTTCCTTGTTTGCTGAACTATTCTCTTCCAGTGTAATAATGCAAGCCGGCTTTGAGAGTGATTCCAATCTAAGGTGAGGTAGGTACTCATGGTCCAGAGTATCATCGGTGAGGCATCCCTGAGGGATGCACCATGAATTCACTCCATCGTTAGAGGTGATTGAATGGATACCTAGCTTATAGAATGGCCTAAGCTGACCAACTGACGCGTCGAGTCAGTCGAACCGAGTCGAGTCGAAAGTAGACTTTCTGTGTATTGCAGAGCATCTCTAACCATTGGGCTGCACTTGTCCTCTATTTTTCTACTTGGTAGAAAGCAAATTCAAATTCTACATTTACTTACCCCTTAGATGATCATATGGGGTTCCCCAGATATTCTTGCTATCGCGATATATTCAGGTAGTGATGTTAGTTTGTGGACACGGCTGCGGTTATAGGATTTGTTCTCTTCTCTCCCTATTGGGTCTTAGATCTCCTCCAGGAGGCACGTGTCAGCCATTGTGGATCGGATGGAGGTTTATTCGTTTCGGATTTGGATTGTAACGGGAACGCCAGTAATTGATGTTGCAGCAATGTCGTGGACGCCGTTTGATTGAGAATGATGCAAAAGACCGAGCACTCATTCAAAGTAGATTTAAAAGTGAATTTTGGTTGCATTAATTGTGATAAACGTCAATATTATCCTTAATAATGAGGTTCACTTTACTCGGATCTTTCTCTACTATAAACGCTTGGTTATTGAAGAGCACCTCAATCGGTGATGCGACCTTAACTAAGTTAAAATGTGACATTGCTGATTGAGGTACACCCTAAAACAAGCATAGTGAGCATTCGAATTTTACGTCTGGTTGGAGATATATCAAGATGAGCTGTTCTGATACAGCACATTTTTCACAGTTCACCAATCGATGTTACACTCCTTTATAAAAAAGGAAGTGAAAGGATAAAGGAAGAAGAGCAGCACATGAACCTGAAAAAACTGGTCACAAGGAAAAACGTTGCAGGGCATTCACGATACCGTTGGAGATTTTCCAAAACATCACTAAAACGCTGTGGAAGGCAAACCTTGGGTTTCTTTGATGCCTTTCCTGAGTCCTCCCATCCAATACCCTACGCCATCAGCTACTTCGCAACCTTTTCTATGATCGTTTGTACAGCTCGGAAAACTGCATGATCTGTCCCAGCGGTAGAGACGGGGATTGCATGAGTTCAGGTATAATATATTTGGTCTTAATGTTGGCTTTTTCTTTATTTACTGCCTTTTTACTAGTTTTCACGGCAGCATATTATTCGTGAAACAACCACAGTAATGCTGAGATATTTGCAGAACTCCGGACCGCAGGTACGTGCAATGGGGAACGAACACGCTACTGTGCTTTCCGGGGAGTAACGCGCTAACCACCACACCATGCGGATCCTTCGTTTCGCCTGTCTCAGCTAGTCTCTCAGCATACTTGATCTTATGTAACGCATGTGGTGAGGAATATATTGGGGAAACCGGTAGACCATTTTGTGTCCGCATAAAAGAATATCTAGATGAGAAGGTTAAAATTCGTGATGATTCTGAAATGACCGTGCGGATCCTAGCACAGGAATCGTAAACATCAACACGCAGAACTCTTGATGCGTTCTGGATAAGTTTCAAAAATCCAAAGGTGAACCAGAAAGACGAATGCCTCACTATCACACGTGACCTGGCGCCCTATCTCAAAATGCATTTTGACCTCTGGGTGTGTCTTGCTCGCGACCCCACGTGAACAACGCGTGGGCCAGTCCCACACGTAACATCATGGCTTTGAGGAAGGTGAAGTCGTCGAAACGTCAGCCATCGACCAACAACAACAAAAACAGCGACAACGACAACGAAGATCGGTACCAACCTCGCGTCAGCTTAAGGTCAGTTTATAAGCTCATATAAATAA